TGTTTTGTCTCCATTTGTCTCCCAATCGAGAAAGAGTAATTCATGCAGAGCCGGCTTTGCAGGAGACTGGAGTTTTATTATTACTCAAATCAGTCTCCCTGAGCATTTGGGGAGCAGAGTCTTTAAGGATAACCCTTGGGAGGGACCACATGCACAGTGTGTTTACTGGCGTTGCGCACATGCTCACTTGAGGCGTTCTTCCCTTACCATTCAAGTGTTCCTAGAAGGCCACATACCAGTTAAATGCCACCATTTTTGCCTCATAGTGTGAATTTTTTTTTTCTTTTTATTTATTATTATTTTTTTCTTTTTAAAGATAGCATTTCACCATGATGGCCAGGCTGGCCTTAAACTCCTGACCTCAGGTGATCCACCCACCTCGGCCTCCCAAAGTGCTAGGATTACAGGCGTGAGCCACCCCGCCCGAGCCCATAGTGTGAATTCTTGAGCCCACTCACCCAACTCCTATGATCTTATCAGGAAGCTGCTTATCACCAGTTTCAGGTGTTTCTATTTACTGCCTTCCTGACACCAGCTGCAACCAATTATTATTTGACTGGGACAGTTTTAACAACCACCTGACCATCACCTGATGGTCGCCTGACAATCCTGGTGGGTGGGGAGGCAGGGGGAAGAGCTCTGCCGCCCTGAGCATGTCTGACTAACTACCTACTGAACAATTTAACCCACCAACAAGTCCTGACAGCCCTGCCTCCAAAGAAAGTCACAAACTAGCCTACTTTCCTATATCACCACTGCCTCCATGCTTAACCAAGCCACTGCCACCCAGACACCTGCCTCCACCTCCCCACCACCTCCAACTTCCTTTCTTGCTCTCCAATCCATTTACATCAGCTACAGTAATCTTTTAAAATTGCCAATCAGATCAGATCACTTTCCTCTTTAAAACCTTCCACTGGCCTTCCCTTTTTCTTTTTTAGGAGGATTTAGATGAATTGGAGAGCAAGAGAGGAAATGGGAAGAGAGGGTGGGGAGGTGGAGGCAGGTGTCTGGGTGGCGGTGGCTTTGTCAAGCACAGAGGCAGTGGTGATATAAGGTGATGGGCTAGGTTGTGACTTATTTTGGAGGCAGGGCTGTCAGGACTTGCTTACTGGTTAAATCAATCAGCCCAAGCTGTGAACTAAAACAGTTCACACAGTTTTCAGTGTCTGGCACACGATAAGAGCATGATATATAGTTACTGCTTATACCATTGATAGGTTGATGAGTTTAGTAAGATCAGCAGTTCCCCATTTTACCATTAGGTGTCACTACAGACCCGACTAAAATAGCAGCACTTGCTTCCCAGATAAGGAAGCCCTGAGCAGTCTGGAACAAAAGGGCCTTAGAGTTGGGAAGGTTTCCCAGTCAGGAAAGTAGGTCAGGGATTTAAACCCAGTTGCCCTGACACCTTAAAAGCCATGGTGGGGAGAGGCCCTCCCTGCCAGGACACCCACAGTGCCTCCTGTCCCCAGGGTAATTTTACATATTTGTAATAATAGGTGACTAAGCGTGCTAACTTATGTAACCAGTGCTATTTCTTTTTCTTTAAGAGGAGTTTTGCTCTTGTCTCCCAGGCTGGAGTACAGCGGTATAATCTCTGGTCACTGCAACCTCTGTCTCCTGGGTTCATGTGATTCTCCTGCCTCAGTCTCCCTAATAGCTGGGATTATAGGCATGCACCACCACACCTGGCTAATTTTCCCACTTTTTGTAGAGGTGGGGTTTCACCACGTTGGCCGGGGTCCTCTTGAACTCGTGATCTTAGATGATCCGCCTACCTTGGCCTCCCAAAGTGCTGGGATTACAGGCATGAGCCCCTGTGCCCGGCCAACCAGTGCTATTCTAAGTATTTTATAATAAAAATTCATTGAATCTCCACAAATGATTACATGAGGTAGAGCCAAATGTGTCCCATTTCACAGATGGAGAAATTGAGGCATAGAGAGATTTTATTAACTTGCTCAAGGACATACAGCCAGTAAATGCAAAATGGAAATGGACCCTGGCATTCTGGCTGTAGCCTGCGCCATCCTGAAACTTATTCCATTCTCTGGTCACTTTGGTAATGATGTTTTTTATCCCTTTTTAAATCTCTTGATGTCACATAGTTGAATTTCCTGAATATATAAGTCTTGGTAAGGAAATAATGTTGATTTAAAAAAAAAAAAAAAAACCATAACTGTTAAACAGAGTGATGTATAGGAAAGCAAGTATTGTGATTTCACAAAACATTGTTCTATTCATAACATAACCATTTCCTGATTCTTTATCATTTAGCCCCAGATTGGTCATCCAGTCCCAACTGAATTCCATGGACCTCATTACCAGCTGACTCAGAGGTCTGGAGGATAAATGACAACGGCAGGAGCTCGGTCTGGCCTTTCAATCATTCACGTATTCATTCAACAGTTAATGCCTCTTCCTTCCTGCCAGACCCAAAATGAGCCCTGCCCTCCAAGAGCTCAACGTTTCACAGGGGTTAACAGACAGGAAATGCACATGCACTGGCACTGCATACTGCCCATCTCTCCAGACTGTAGTGTTTGTAGACAACATCTGTATTATTTTTTCTTTTTTTTAGACAGGGTCTCACTCTGTCACCCAGGTTAGAGTACAGTGGCACAATCACAGCTCACTTGTGGCCTCGTCTTCCCGGACTCAAGCAATCCTCTCACCTCAGTCTCCAAGTAGATGGGACCACAGGCACGCACCAGCACACCCAGGTAATTCTTTTATTTTTTGTAAAGACAAGATTTCACTATGTTACCCAGGCTGGTCTCGAACTCCTGAGTTCAAGTGATTCACCCACCTTGGCCTCCCAAAGTGTTGGGATTACAGGTATGAGCCACCATGTGGCTCTTATTCTCTTTTCTATCTTCCATGCCTAGCACAGTGCTAGGCACATTTTAGGTAACCAAAAAATATTTCATGAATGAATACAAAGGCTTCATGGAAGGGGTGGCATTTGATCTGGGCCTTTGAAGACTGGGGAAGATCTTGACAGATAAAGACAGGGGTGAGGGGACACCCCCTCAAGAAAAGTGACAAGATCATTTTAGAAAGATCATCCTGGGCTGGGCACGGTGGCTCATGCCTGTAATCCCAGCACTTTGGGAGGCCAGATCATCTGAGGTCACGAGTTCGAGACCAGCCTAGTCAATATGGTGAAACCCCATCTCTACTAAAAATACAAAAATTAGCTGGGTGTGGTGGTGTACACTTGTACTCCCAGCTACTTGGGAGGTTGAGGCAGGAGGATCACTTGAACCCAGGAGGCAGAGGTCACAGTGAGCCGAGATCACACCACTGCACTCCAGCCTGGGTAACAGAGTAAGACTCTGTCTGAAAAAACAAAATTCATTCTGGGTGGAAGATGAAGGTTCTGGGTGAGACAGGCGGCAGGGAGACCAGTGAGGAGGTTGCTGCAGGGTTCAGGGGACAGAGAATGGCCTGAAGGAAATTCAGGAGGAATGGGCAAGAGTTGAGGAGTATAGAGCAAGAGGGAGCAGGAGTCATGGGTGACTCTAGGTGTCTGGTAGGTGGGAGCAAGTTGAGGAGGCCTTGGTAGGAAGCTGAGTTTGGCTCAGCAAAATTTTAGGGCAGAATGACCTTCCAGGCCCCAAAAGTCAGAGCTGGTGTTAGTGATGTTTCTACAGCCTGGAACTGAGCTGGGAAGGTAGAGCAGTCTTGAGGGCACAGAGGAAAGGACCCAGCTGAACATGAAGGGAGTTCCATGTGCAAGAGAAGCCCTGCCTCAGCTTCCCCAGTTTTATGGGTCCCCAGGGAGAAAGGGTTGGCCATGAGGCCCTGTACATGCTAACACTCAGCCTGAAGGTTACTGGAGGTGGTGTCCCCGAAAAACAGATCTGATCCTTGTTTAGCAGCATGTCATATTCCATGATGGCAAGACCCTTTCCTTTCATCTATTTTTCTTGTTTTTGTTTTTGAGATGGAATCTTGCTCTGCTGCCCAGGCTGGAGTGCAGTGGTGTGATCTCGGTTCACTGCAACCTCTGCCTCACAGGTTCAAGTGATTCTCCTGCCTCAACCTCCCAAGTAGCTGGGATAACAGGCACCTACTACCATGCCTGGCTAATTTTTGTACTTTTAGTAGAGATGGGGTTTCACCATGTTGGCCAGGCTGGTCTCAAACTCCTAACCTCAGGTGATCCGCCTGCCTTGGCCTCCCAAAGTGCTAGGATTACAGGCATGAGCCACCATGCCTGGCCCCTTTCTTCTATTTTTCTTGAGGTATAACATATGAAAAGTACATAAAGCCCTGTCTTTTTTCTCCCCAGCGCCCCGAGACAGAGTCTCACTCTATTGCCCAGGCTGAAGAGCAGTGGCATGATATTGGCTAATTGCAGCCTTCACCTCCCAAAGTCTCCGAGTCTTATAATTTTTACTCGATGAATTTTCACTTATGTAATCACCAGCCAGAAGATACAATCCTTCTGGCAGCCCAGAAAAGCTCCTCTTGCTCCTTTCCCACCCCTAATCCCGACCTGACCCAGGTCACTACCATTTTGATTTCTAACCTTATACATTAGTTCAGCTTCATATACATATATTCATATGGTATCTACTGTTTTGTATCTGGCTTCTTTTAGTCCACATACTATATGTGAGATTAACTGGTGGTGTTACATGTATCAGTTTGTTCTTTTATATGTAAAACGCAGTATTCCATTGCATGAACATGCCACAATTTGTTTATCCATTTGCCAGTGATGGACATTGAACTATTTCCAAATTGAGCTGTGAACCTTCTTGCACAAGTCTCCAGGTAGACAAAGGCACTCATTTCTCTTGGGTATATACCTAAGAGTGGAAATTCCAGGTCCCAGCATAGGTGTGTGCTTAGATTTTGTAGATACGCCAGTTTTCCAAAATGGCCGAACCAATTTCCTCTGCCGCCAGCAATCTGCAAGAATTTGTTGCTTCGTAACCTCTCAACATTCAGCTTTTTCTTTTGTTATTTAGTTTTTATTTCATAATCATAAACTTAACTCTGCAATTGAGCCAGGGATGGAAGGGAGCAAGGAAAACATGGAACCCAAAGGGAACTGCAGGGAGTACAGGGAGAGCACAAGGTTCTAGGATACTACCAGCAGATGGGGTGGAGTGCACTTCCCTGAGCTACAGAAGGAATGGTCTGGTGGTTAAGATTAAACAGAGTCAAACTTACTGGAGCTGTCCACAGTCAGCACTGGTGATCTTCTTGCTGGTCCTGTCATTCCCGGACCCAAAGCACTCCATGGCCTCCACAGTATTCATGCCTTCTTTCACCTAGCAAAGACCACATGCTTGTCACCCAATCACTCAGTCTTGATGAAAAACTGGGAACCATTTGTGTTGGGTCCAGCATTTGCCATGGACAAGATGCCAGGATCTGCATGCTTTACAATGAAGTTCTCATCATCAGATTTCTCCCCACAGATGGACTTGCCACCAGAGCCATTATGGCGTGTGAAGTCTCCACTCTGACACATAAGCTCTGGAATAATTCTGTGAAAGCAGGAACCCTTATAACCAGAAGTTTTTTCTCCAGTGCTCAGAGCATGAAAGTTTTCTGCTGTCTTTGGAAACTTGTCTGCAAACAGCTCGAAGGAGACATGGCCCAAAGGCTCACTGTTGACATCGATGTCGAACACAGTGGGGCTGACCACAGCTGAGGATAGTATGGGGATCCGGGCAGCATCTGCAAAGCCAGCTCTCTCTTTTTCTAAGCATGGGCTTCCACTCCAAGACTCCTCTTTTTATTCAGTGTTGAATACTGAGTGTGGATGCCATGGATGCATTCATCCTTTAGCCTGTAAGCAGCAGGACAGTGGGAGGCCACATTCAGGCCTGTTTGAGTCTCAGCCAGAGGAGAAATGGACATCTCTTTGCTTTGGATGTGACCCCAGGAACTGGATAGCCATCTTGTGGCCATGAGCATGAAACTAGCTCAAGGAGAGCAGAAGATAAAATGAACCTGGGTCCTTGATGACACTACCTAACCACTGAGTGGCAGGCTACTTATTTTTTTTTAAGCCAATTGATGTAGTTTTTTTTTTTAAACTAGCAACGTAAAAGACAGAGTTCACCAACCTTCTTTATTCCCAAACCCCACTGGCCCCATTTCTGTCCTCCACAGCATCGGCCCCACTGAGCACTCCTTTCTTGAAACCTCCTCTCTAGGACCAACACTCACTTGGTCCTTTTTCTACCCCACTGGCCACTGCTTCTCAGTCTCCTGTCATTGACCCTCCTCTTCTGCCCACTTTCTTCTCTACTTTCCTTCCCTTGAGTTCTCACCCAGCACCATGACCTTTGTGTTGATGACCCCCAAATAGGTATCTCCAACCCCAGCTTCTGTTCTGAGCTCCTGTGTCACATACATCTGCCTACTCACCCTCTCTGCCCTGCATGTTGCCTAGGCATTTCAACCTTAACTTCTCAAAGCCAAACTTGATCTTTCCCCTCAGTCTTCCTTTTTCAAGCTTTATTGTCTTGACCAAGGTCTCTTTTACCCTTTCATTTACTCAAGGCTAAAACCTAGCGAGGTGTTATTGCCAATGCCTCCGCATCCACCCACATCCAGTCTTCCACACTTCCTTTCACCTCCCCAAATCGCTACCCTGAGTCAGCATTAGCTTATGTCTGGAAGCTGTAACCACCTCCTAACTGGCCTCCCTTCACCCACTCCTGAGTGCCCTTCAAGCCAAGCGGCCTACATGGCCTTTTAGAAATCCAAACTTGACATCTTTTCCCTGATGAAAATGGCTTCCCTTGACTCTCAAGAGAAAAGCCAAATTCAGTATATAGGCGACCTGTCTTCTTCCGTGCTCGCCTCTCACCCTCACTCTGCCCCTTCCCAGGTCCACATCTGGAACAAGATGTTCTTTCTGCCTAGAACATTTCCCCGCTCACTCTTGCCCTGTACAACTCCTAATCGCCCTTGGTTTCTCAACCTAAATGCCATCTTCCCAAGTAGGTTCCACCCTCTGCCTACTTTAGGACTTCATTAATTTCTCCTAACACTCTCTACTTCCTCTCACAGTACTTCCCATGATGCGTTGATTAAAGTCACTAATATACAATAATTATATCACTGTCTCCCCGCCTACCTGCCATTAGACTGGTAACGCCTTGAGGTCAGGAACAGACCGAGGTCACCCACTCTACCCACCCTTAGCACTGCGCTTGCGTACAGTAAGCGCCTAAGGAATATGCTTAATTAGCTAATAAATGACTACACGGACTCATTCAAGCCCCATAACAGCCGTGAGGTGGGTATTTCATCAGACAGGAGGAAGCCGAGTCGGGGCAGGCGAGTTAGTCGCTCGCGCCAGATACAGGGCAAGGGGAGGAGCCGGGACCTGACCCAAGGCCGTCCCAAGTTCTGAGCCCGGACCTTTCCGCTCCTGAGCCCTGGCCGTGTGTTGAAACGCCAGGGAGGGGATGGACTTTGAGCCACGAGAAGGTCTTCTCCGAGTCCAAGGACAGTCCACGCCGGGCAGTGCGAAGCGGGCTCACCCACAAGATCGCAGCCCAGCCCGCCCCGCGCTCACGGAGTAAAGATCACAATCAGCTGCATATGCATGAGGGGACCGGGCCGCGCTTTGGGGCCATCCACACTGCGCCTGACAAAAATTATTCGGGATTTGAGGACCTCGGCGCCCCCGCATTCTTGTAAAAGTCCATACAAAGCTCTCAAAGGTAGTCTGTGGGGGATACTGAGGGGCGATGGATCGAGGGTAAGGCCCTTCTTCCGACCGTGTGATCAGGCATCTGCGGTAGACAGCCCGATCCCAGGATGGGTCCTCGGCCTGTTAACTAGAAGACGAAGGGGGCGTCTCCCCAGCTTCCTGCGGCGTCGGTGGCGAGCTGAGGTGGAGGCAGGCTGCGGCAGACGGCGACAGTGGCGGCGACGCCATGGCAGGGCTTGCAGGTACCGTGGCGTCAACCTGCTTGGGGCAGGATGGGAGGCTTTCTATGCGGCCGCGCCGCCATATTGTCCCTTCTGGGTCACCTTAGGCGTCGCCGGGTCCCCGTCACTGGCGTTTTCCTTCCGCATACCGGCGAAGGGAGGGTGCCCCTGTCCGGCTTCAGGAGATTGCTGTGCTAGGACCTAGCCTGGGCCTTGAGGGTCCCTGTCCAGCCCGGGGGTGGGTCACGGGACTTCTGGGTACTCGCTCCGGCCTCCGAGGTCAGCGCCTTTGCAGAATGAGGCAGACAGAGCCGGGGGCGCAGAGCTGGGGAGCGCGACGACGACCACCTCTGCGGCCCCGAGTTCCACGGCAGGGTGCCCAGCTTGTGAGAGGCCTGTCACTCAGTCCCTGTCAGTGCAGTTGCTTTTTTTTTTTTGGTGGTGCTGGGGCGTGGGGATGAGAGGAGAGAGGGTCTCCCGCTCGGGGCCCCGCTTCAGTGTCTGAGGTGATAGGCTGACGCTCTGCTAAGAGTCGCAGGAGCTTCTTACTCCCTCCAACTTTACATCATGGATGGACACCCGTTCCCTTTCCTTCTATAGACGTGGGGAGTGGCCCTCAAGGGCAGCTGAAGGAGCGGAATGCCTGCACACTAATGGCCTGGAAAGGAAGCATGGGGGATGGGGGACAATTGCTTTTTCCTTTCCCTTTCCAAATCTCCTTTAGTTTCCTTCCAGGCCTCCGTGTTCCATTTCAGCGCTAACTGTTGTGAGACTGGGGTCTGTCCTCGGAAAGAAACAACCTTTCTGTTTATAGGTTTGGATCGTCTTTATCCCTTTCAGGGAACTGGTGTGTTGGGGACGGCTTCTCTGCCCTGCCTGACATGGTCCAGTCATCCCGTCAGGACGGCAACACCAAAGCTGGGACCAAAAAAGTTCCAGCTTAAGTGCTAATGTGAAGTGTTAGCTCTTGTTTGCTTGTTTGTTTTAAATCAAAGACTAATTAATGTCAAGCAAATCTGTTAAGAGATTTGATCACTGGAAACCGACAAGGTCAATTTCATATCTGAAATTGGTCTTGTTAGCGTTGCTGCCAAAAACAGTTTAACCTTTAATCTGTAATATGTTGTTTCAAAGAGGAATCTGGGTCAGGCTGTCTTTTTTTGTTGTTGTTCTCCTATCTTTGAAACACATGCGTTCCGTTTCAAGCCTGTCCCTGTATGATATACCAAGGACCATGCGTTGCCTGCCTCTCTGACTTCCTGCTCTGGAAATGCTCAGGAATCTGGATCCTGCTGGGGCTGGGCCCTGTGGGAGGGCAAGTGGGGGTGTGGAGGATAAATGGAATAATTGCTAGGGAAGATGGTGACAACCTGTCTCTGGGGCACACAGAGGAAGTCAGAGGTCACCGGGGGAAAAGAGATTGTTGTTTGACTAGTGTTTTGTGGATGTGCATGAGTGCACACATTTAAATCTCTGGGGGGAAGTTAACTGCAAATTCAGGATCTCCCTTTGGCGTGTTGGCTCCTGAGGAGATACACATTTCAAAATAGATATCTAGTAAATGGCTCACAGCAAACCTGCTCCCCCATCCAACAGTAATCTCTTGCCAAAGCTCAAGGAACTTGCCCCTGCCCTGCCCTGCCCTGCCCTGACAGCAGACATCCCTTCCTTCAGTCACACTTCAGATATTCCACAGATAAAGGTAGCAGTGTCACATAGCACCCTGCACCCCTGAAAGTCATGGTACCTAAATCCGCCCCCTCTGGACTTAACCTCAGCTGATTAGGCTAAGAAACCAGCATCATGGAGCATTAGTCCCGGGGTCTCTCACCTATTGCTGGAGTCCGACAGAGCCATTCCCAATCCCCTCCCAACTCATCTGCTCTGTCCTTGGTCTTGTGGGGGCAAAATCTGGGAGCAATGAGAATTTAGGAAAAGGGGACATTCAGCACTGTGACTAAGGGCTCTTAGTCATTTTCAATTCTTCCCATTGCTGTCTATCAGAATAAAGTGTTTAATGGTATAGTTTGTGGAAAAAAAAATTTCTAAACAAGGTGTGTTTGGACCATCTAGGCATTGCATGGCATTGCACTGGATGGAAAGTGAATGCATTGTCTTCTCTGGTGGGTTAACTTTGCTGCCAGAACATGAGGTTTTGTGGGTGGAGGACGAAAATGGGGAGTGGACCTTGCACATTGAAGCCCACATGTGCAGGCCACCAGGGCAGCCCTTGTCTGGAAGTCTGTCATCTCACCTTGATGTACTCACAGCCCTGCTGATGGATGGATGGATGGAGGAAAAGGGCTTTGCCAGGATTATATGGAAAGCTCTGGGGCTACCAGCAGCCTCTTGTCTTCTAAGTGGGGGCACAGGAGGTGCTGTGTCCAGAGCAGCCTTATCATGCTGCTTTGGCCCACCTCCCTGAACCTTGTCACTTGGGCTGAGGTTAGAGCATCAAGGGCAGTGGGGCTGTGGGCACACCCCTCAAAAGGGTCAGCCTTCATTGAGAACACATGTTGACGTATGTTCATGATTCTCTGGGTTTAGTGTGGAAAACCACAGAAACTCCAAGTTTTGAGGCCTGCCAAGATACGGGATTCAGAAGGGAGTAGGTGCGAGCATTGCCTGCTGATGAGTCACTCTGGGGCAAGAGGAGACCTGCCATACCTTCAGGCTATGGTAGCAGCTATAGTCACCCAGCTATGGAAGATGAAGTCTCAGACTGCGCATCCTCTTTGAGTCCTGTTGAGTCCTGATTGCCACTGTGATGTCAGAGTTTCTAGTATGTTAGGGTTCACTGGCATCTCAGAGGCCCTCTTAGAGGGGGAAACTGAAGATGAGGGGTGTAAGGTGATGTGTCCAGTTTCCCTAGGCTGATTGATGGCAAAGCCAAGACCAGAACCAAGATCTACATCTCCCCACCCCTGTGATTCTCCTTTACTGAATAAAGTTTTAGATGCGTTTAGATAGAGGTGCTGGTGATTGGGCTAAGAAACTTAACAGCTTGCTTAGGAGTGGGAAACATGATCAGGCTCATGAGGGCGAGGTACTTTGTGCTCCAGAAGTATTTGTGACAGCTGTGACTAAGAGATTTGAAGAAGTGGCAGGAAGAGACATTTATGGCCTCAACTCCCTCCCTTGGTGCTGACCGACAGGTGTGTAGTGACAGGGACACGTAAAGCCAGAGACAAGGCTGAACAGGTGGCAGGGCCATTTGGTGAGACAGTCAGCTGACCCCATGTAGAAAGAGCCCTGGGGAGGGAGAGAGGGAAGGCAAGTCAGAGGCCGAGCAGCCAACCCACCATGCACCCTGACATGATTGCAAAGGAGAGCCCAGGGCCAGGGACCCGGTAAGCATCCCTAAGAATAAGGAGGCTTGTGCTGGGAAAAGCAGGAACCCAGTATTGGGGAGAGAGGTTTCTGGCATGAGGTGGGGCCAGGAGCCCCTGCAGAGTAGCAAGGTCAGGCAGATTTTCTTTGTGGTGGTCCTGGTGGGTATGGGGCCTACAGCGTTAAGCTGGGTGGAGAAGGCGCCACAGCACACCTCTTATCCCACACTCGTCTAAGCCTGTGTCTATCCTGCCCAGTACTCCTCTCCATGGGGCTCCTGGATGGAGACCTGGAGTAAGACTTTGTGATCTGAAATCACCCCCTTGGTCCCCAGCACCTCTGTGGAAGGCTACTCCCACCTTTTCCCCTTCCTCTCATCTTTCCCTAAGTGATTACCTGCTTTTGGCCCCTTATCTTAGGACCACAAGTAGAGCATCTATCCCTTTGAGGAGGGGAAAGTGCCCCTTATTCCAGGACCACAAGTGAAGATGTCAGCCTTTCTCTTTGGGGAGGGGAGAGATGGTCCTTTATCACAGGACAGCATTGAGATGGGGTTGGGTGTGTGAGGGGCCAGCTTATTGCAATTTAAATGGCCCTCCTTTTCCTCCCTCCCCCAAGTAGTGTGCCTATTCCACAGTGGGCACATCAGCTGAGTCTTAGAAGTGTGTGTTGATGCCGCTAAAGAAATCACAAGAGACAAAGTTTTGGTGCGCCTCCACTGCCCCGCAGGGTCCTAGAATACTGTGCGAGACAGGGGAGGTACTTTTTTTTATTTTTTGTAGAGGTGGTCCCTGTCCTCCAGGAGCTTACAATCTAGCTGGGGAGACACAACTAATGCACACTTAAACAATCAGTACAATTAGCGATTACCACAATATTTACCACAATTGCTTGAGACCAGGGAAAAGCAAGATCAGTGAGGGGCAGTGGGTTTCAGAGAAGGTGTTTTAGTAAAGATGGGATTCATTTACTTTTGCTTCTTGAATAGTTCCAAATCAAGTGACACATTACTTTGGAGTAGGATGGGCTTGGGAGACAGTGAGAGGGAAAGGGGAATAGAGGGAGCAAATGCAGCAAGGCTGGAATGCAGGTGCCCTAGGCAAGGGACAGTGAGAGGGCCCCACTGTATTTCTTAACCCCCTCCTTCCTCAACTGTGCCCTCCAGTCCCGCCACACAGGCACGTGGTTGGTGCTGCACCAAGATTCAGGGCTTCGGCTGGCGATGTCAGAATATCCATTCTGCTGGCTGGTGTGGTGTTTGGATCTCCATGGTGGGGCCTGCTGGCACGGCCCTGGCTTCGGGGCTGGGATGGTGCTGTCCCGACTTTGTCCAGATCAGAATGCGGTGCCTATGCCCAGATCTCAGGGATCTGCTCCCCCCACCCCCCGGACCCTGCCCCTTAGTGTGACCGGGCAAAGGGGTTGGGAAGGGATCTGGTATTTTCGTCATTGTCAGTACTGCTTCTCTGGGGGCCTACTGGCCCCTCACTGACCTTGCCAAGTGCTCCTCTGGCGAGGGAGCACAGGGGACCCCCCATTCCTGCGCGGCACCGGCTCCCATGCTGGCGGAGATGCACAGGAGCACCTGATGATACGGCCGCCCAGGGCTGGGAGCTGGGGCCTCAGTTGGGGGCTCGCTGCCTGCGCTCCCCCAACACCTGCCGCCCGGTCCGCGACACGGTGTACGCCAGCTTCTGCAGGGAGTACCTGAACACCTGTGGCAAGAAACCCAGGACCCACCCTTAGTGGAGAGCACCCGCAGCATGTCTGCCGTGCTGCCATGCCCACCCCCGCCCCACCCCCTGCCCCGCCCACCCATCCAGCGTAGGCTGGAGAGGCGGGCGCGGGCGCAGCTTGTCCACGAGTCAGGGCAGCTGGAGCTTTTCCAACTGTGCTGAGAGCTGCATGGCGGCAAGCTGATTGGACCCACAACTTAGGTATACCTCACTTCTTGCAATGGGCTGTGTCCCTGGAGGATTTCGAAAAGCGAATCCTACCCAGTAAATGCAGCATTCCAGGAACACCTTGAAGGAAATACGCGATGCCTTTGGCAAAGGATTCCTTTAGCAGGGAATTCTTCCTGCAAAGGGAGCTTTTAGGTAAATGATTTTACGGGCAAAGCACATTCTTCTGATTTATTTCTTTTTACACAAAGCGCTTTTGCCTCTTTTTTATTTTTTTTTCCCCCCATAAAGCAGTTGTCCAGTTTTGGACGCGCTATTTTCCCCTTCTGTTTTTCACTCGAGGGGCTTTTTCTTCTAATTTTTTTCTTGTAACCATTTTTGCTCGATTCACTTTTTTCCGTTAGCTCCCTTGTCTAATTTTTTTCTGCAGTGCGTTTTTAATCTAATGCATTTTTTTTTTCCGCCAAGTGCTTTTCTCCAATTTATTTTTCCTGCAATGCGCGTTTTTCTCTTTTCCTGTGAATTACTTTTTCTCTAATCGTTGTGTGGGTTTTTTTGCGAAGTAATTTTTATTTTTTCTGAAAAGTGCCTTTTTCTAACTTATTTTTTGTTCTACCCCCACAAGCGCTATATGTTTTTTAAAAATAAAATTTCCCCGCAATGCGCAATTTTTTAAGGTGGAAAATTTTCACTCTACGAGCTATAAAGTCTTGCAACACAGTAGTGCCCCGCCTCCCTCCTGGGGTTGAGTCCGGTTGTAGCGGGTTTTTCTTACCGCGTAGGTCGCTAAAAAGCCTGGGTGATCGTCCGCAGCGGTCGCCCGCCGCGCCCCGAGTCTTTGTTCCCGGGCAGGCGCGGGCGCACTAGGGAGGGTCAGTGCGAGGAGGACATAGTGGGGAATGGTCAGGGGGCGTGCGGTGCCGATGGAGGCACTTGAACAGGCAGGGATCGCGGCAATCGGAATAGGACGGGTCCGGGAGGCGGCAATCGCGACGCGGGTTGTGGGTTCTAGGGGTGTGAGTTGGGAACCCTCTCCCATCCGAAACCCCAGCACACTTACCTGCAGCAGCACGCGGAAAATGTACCAGCCGATGATGAGCAGTTCAGCCGAGGCTGCCGCCACTGCCGCCATGGTTCCAAGCGCGGTAGGTCGGTGGTCGAGAGAGAGGTTTTGCCGAGATCCACTGGTCTCTCGGAGTCCGCTGTTGGGTGCACTGCCGCAGCCGCGGTGGCCGCGCCTTAAGTACCCGCCCGCCACTCAACTGCGCATGCGCACCCTGTTTGGGGGGTGTTTATGAGGAGGGGTGGCGGGGGGCGCTCCTCATTCGCCAGGAGAGGAAAAAAATAATCCATCTGCTCTTTCCATACCGACCCCCGCCTCCTGAGTTCCATCTTAGCCCCCTTCCAGAAGATTCCGCCGTGCTTGCTTTTGGATTTTGCTTTAAAATGGAGGGGTACCACGACTCTGGGTAGAGTACCGGGCGAGGATTGGGGGTGCAAGTCTCTTGGTGTGGCGCCCTACTCTCCAATCCCTGGCCTCCAAATTTGAGCTCAGTCTCCGGTGCCACTCCACAACCTACCCTGGGGATGGATGGAAAACCGAAATTAGGGAGGGTTCATCTGCCCCATAGAGCAAAAAAATTGGTGCCTCTTTCAGAAGCCTTGGCATACATAATATGCCCGTGCTTGGCACTCTTTCCCTAATATTGAATGAGTTTTAAGCACAGATCCCCTGCTTTGTGAGGGTCCCTGAGCGCGTAACCCATCTCTGATTTTTTACATCCCTCTTCCTATGGTATTGGTAGCGGGGCGATCGGATCTGTGGTGTGGAGGTCGCTACCATAGGGAGCCGAGCTGGGGCACCGCGCTTTGGGCGCAAAAGCAGTAGTTACATGGTATCTGTGGGAGGGATACAGGAACGATTTGCGCCCTTCGTATGCGCGGAAGGAATGAGCTCTGTGGAGAAGTGGTTGGAATATGCTCGGGGATAGTTTTCTGCTGGACAGTCGGTCGTTTCGACCTCTGTCTTCCGCTCCCCTCCCCCAAGCCCTGGTAAGTCTGCCTTGGCCGGCGGGGTTCTTTGTACCCGTTGTGCGGGGCGGCTGGATCACTGAACCGGGTTCGCTACCGCTACCGGAGTGTTATGGCTACCGCGGCTCCATTTCCAAGCGAGGCAAGTCCCTTTCAGATCGCCCGTCTTGCGGGTCCCTCGCACAGCGGGGCTAGAAGACCGGAATGCGGTTTGGGAGCGTGATCCCTGCGCACCGGTGGCCCACCGAAAACACCTCTTTCCAACAAGCTGACTGGCACAGGGGCCAACTGGCATTTGCCCCTAAGTGGATAGAAAATTAATTTTCATTAAAAGCTCCTAGAGGTCAGCTTCTATACAGTGCCAGCGGCAGATGGAGGTTTAATGATCCAAGCGACTTCAGTTTGGACAAAGTAACATAATGACTTTTTTTCTGCATTGACTTTGGGAGAAGTTAGCAGGTTCTGGCAAAGTGATGCCGGGCTATTTGAAAAAGGCAAGCCCAGCCGAGAGTGCCATCTTAAAAATTTTCGTGGTGCCACTGCAGCTGCCTGAAGATCCTTTGCCTGTCGTCTTGTGGCCAGCAGTGTGCTGCTGCTGCTAACAGCTTTAACTCTCTACTCAGTGCCTGAGCACCTAAGGCTAGGAGAGATGCTAGATACAGAACCTGTCCTTACCACGTGGGGGCACAGCAGGGAGCCCTTGGCCTTCCTTTGGCAACCACTGGGCGGTATTGTGAGGTCTGGGCCCATTGAGGACGGGCTGCAGCCCCAGGAGGCGATACATGATCTCTGCTGGGCAGGGCCCAGGCAAAGCCAGTCCACTGTGTGAAACCGTGCCAAAGAGCCCTCTCCCCAATCCCGTAGGCGAAGCCCCAGGGAGACATCCCAGGAGGCTTTCCACATTAGTGACTTGAAGAGGAGTAGAACTTCCATGGGTGGGCAGGGAGGAAAGGGCATTTCACATTTGCTGTTGTTAACCATGATCCATTTTCCCAAATAAGTATACATTCTGTTCCTGTTTTTTTTTTTTTTTTTTTGTCTGTCTGTCTGTCTGTTCTTTGTCTGTCTGTTGTGTTGACTTTTCTCTTCAGGATCCCTGCTGCCTTGGTGATCCCGGGCTGACAGCCAGAGAGCACAGCGGCTCAGCTCCTGGAGAGTGAGGGTTGAAGAAAGCGGAGGGCAGCCGCCTGCGCCCGCTGGCTCCCATTAGGTCGGTTCCTGCAGCGGTGCCTGGCAGCCTTGGTGAAGGCCCTGCCCGGCAGAGATCATGTATTGCCTCCAGTGGCTGCTGCCCGTCCTCCTCATCCCCAAGCCCCTCAACCCCGCCCTGTGGTTCAGCCACTCCATGTTCATGGGCTTCTACCTGCTTAGCTTCCTCCTGGAACGGAAGCCTTGCACAATTTGTGCCTTGGTTTTCCTGGCAGCCCTGTTTCTCATCTGCTATAGCTGCTGGGGAAACTGTTTCCTGTACCACTGCTCCGATTCTCCGCTTCCAGAATCGGCGCATGATCCTGGTGTTGTGGGCACCTAACGGCCTGCCCTGTTAGCTTTCCAAGGAAGCAGAAGACGGGAGGGGAGGCATTGACATAGGTCATAAAGCATTGGAGTTTCAAATCCCGCTGCCTTGTGGGTGTCACATTCCTGACGGCGCCTTTTTGGCCTGTGATGTTTTATCCTTATAATGTGAATAATGGCACTGACCGGTGCTTTTATTGTAAAATCCTATAGTTGTGGGTGGTCTTGTGGTTGTGTGTATTCTGTCCCCATCTAGGTCCTGGCTGGCGGCATGGCCACCCCCCTCGCCTCATTATTGTGAGGAGTCTGGGCCCATCCTGGTCAACCGCCCCAGCATGATCTGGGCAGATAAATGCCAGTCTCATTGTCACCTCTGTGAACCCTCCTTGTCAGGGTCTCCTTTCTTCCCAGAATGTTATTGACTCCTCAGTCCCTCTCCTGGTTTCCCTTTACTTCTCTTCAACCCCTTTCCTTTTTTGGGGAGTACCTGTCCAAGACAGGGCTCATTTTTGCACTTATCTCGAATTTGAAGAGATTGCTGACGCCCAAGAGCCTCGCTTTTTCATCCTTCTTTCCTTGTTCAGCAGGCTAGACAAATACATGTCTTGACTGTTTGTTGTCCACAGATCTTCAGTATTTTCTCTGCTTCATTTTTAAGAAAGGAAGCAACAGATAGATGTTGCTCTTTTGCCTGGGTGTCTGGGCTCATGCTTTCCTGCCCAGCCTCACTTCCTTTGCCCTTCCTCCTGCCCTTCTCAGCTGTCCCAAGGAGGGGGGCCTCATTGTGTCTTCCTGTGCATGCTCTTCAGCATTGAAGTATGGTGTGTTCACGTAGTTCTAGCAGTCCCAGCTGAGTGAATGGGCAAGTACCTGTGTATTTCATAACAGCCATGATCCCCTTGATGTTTGGATATTTTTTGGTGTGCCGTGTGTGTGTGTGTGTGTGTGTGTGTGTGTACAAATACATGTGTATATTCCTTTTAAAGAAGCTTTATCGAACGTATTCTGATTTTGAGGTTTAGCAATAGCTAGCTATATATAGTAGGTGCCGCTACAGTTTTTATTTAGCATGGGGATTGCAGAGTGACCAGCACACTGGACTCCGAGGTGGTTCAGACAAGACAGAGGGGAGCAGTGGCCATCATCCTCCTGCCAGGAGCTTCTCCATTCCTGCGCATATAGACTGTACATTATGAAGAATACCCAGGAAGACTTTGTGACTGTCACTTGATGCTTTTTCTGCGCTTCAGTAACAAGTGTTGGCAAACGAGACTTTCTCCTGGCCCCTGCCTACTGGAGATCAGCATGTCTGTCCTTTCCATCTGATCCATCCATCTCTCTCTTGCCTGAAGGGAAAGGGAGGTGGGCCAGGCAGAGAACAGAACTGGAGCCAGTCCATCTACGGAATGGGACTGTGAGGCCATACTTGTGAAACGTTTGGACTGCTATTCTAGAGCTTTTATTTGGTGTGTTCATTGCACAGCTGTTTGAAATGTTTAATAAAGCTTTATAAACTTTACTTTGTGGTTTTATATGGCTGCAGTCCATTTGGGTCGTGGTATTGGATTTCGGAGTTGGTAGGGGGCAGGGGGAAGCATGGAGGGGCTGATTCCTTGGCGCCAGAGCACCTTAGCCCGAAAATTTGATCTGTTCTCTGGAGAGCAGATGGTGGGGGTAGGGGTGGGGAGCAGGGGACAGGACAGGCGGTGAACAGGAGGGAGTCTGAAAGTTTTCAGAGATGAGACATTTGCGTTTCTCAGCTCCCATGGCTTCTCGCCTGAAATTGTTTCCCTCCATAGGAGATTTGAGTAACCGATCCCTTGACAAACAACTTAAGACAGCTGGAGCTCTAATCATCAAGGATTTTTATGGTGCTGCTTTTGAAGTAAAAATAAAGTGAAACTCCTTATGGCATTTCAAGTGGAAAAATAAATAAGACTGGCTGTCCAACCAGCCAGACGTAAGGTGAATGGCCAGAAGTACAAGAGTGGTATGGTTCCATGTCATAGATATGCACGTGCCCCCATGGCCGTGACCTTTGAGACAGTGTAGGCTAGTTTGTCAGGCCCTGTGATGTGTGTTCACCTCTGAATCTCCTTCTAGAAAGCACAGTGGGAGTACTGCCTGTCCAAGGCACAGGGCTGTCGTGAGGCTTGAGTCACAATTGTGAAGGACTTGTGTAAATGAAGCCAAGATTATTGCTTATTTTGCTCTTCCTCAGAAAGCAGCTTTCTGTTTTAGGTCAAGCCTGCTCTAGAGTCACAAACAGGCCTCCCTCTGAAAGATTTGTGGCCCTTTCCAGCAGGGAGCCTACAGCCCACCCCTCCCCAAAGTGACTGCCAAATCAGCATTCTGTTGCCCCACAGTGCTTCCTACCTTGCCAGGTACCTGTCCCCTCTTCCTGAACTGCCTTTTAGGAAAATGAAAAATAGATACCTTTTCTGGTAATTTCATAGACAGTCACCTGTTTTACCTAGGCTTTAAACTGGCTGCTATAAAATTGAGTGTGATTTTCTCCTGTTCAGATAAGTCTCTCCATTGTCACTTTATCTCTTTTTTCCTTATTGGTGTTGCTTATTGATGCTTTCCCTTGATCAAAACTTGCCAAATATTTGTCTATTTTAGAGGTGTTTTCAAAGAACCAAACTTGTATTGATCATATCTGCTGGGTAATTTTCTTATATGATTCTTATGTGCTTTTATCTCTGAATTCTTCTTTTCTGGGTTTCTGGATAGATTTCATAGTTTTGCAAAGTCTTAACAAGCTGAGGAGTCATACCTGGAAAGGATGGTTTGTTCAACAAACACTGAGACCCTGTACTAGGCTTGCCAGGGATTTCAGGGGCAAGATTCAGGCCTGACTCTCCAGGAGCTCATGATTGTAGCCTAATGGGGAGACTTAACAAAATAGACAATTGCAAATTCCAAAAACAAAACAAACAAACCAAAAAAGGCTTTTGTGTCCCTACTCTCCCATGGCAGCACCTGGATGATAAATGAAGCCAAGATTATTGCTTATTTTGCTCTTTCTCAGAAAGCAGCTTTCTGTTTTAGGTCAAGCCTGCTTTAAGAGTCACAAACAGGCCTCCCTCTGAAAGATTTGTGGCCCTTTCCAGCAGGGAGCCTGCAGCCCACCCCTACCCAAAGTGACTGCCAAATCAGCATTCTGTTGCCCCACAGTGCTTCCTACCTTGCCAAGTACCCGTCCCCTCTTCCTGAACTGCCTTTTAGGAAAATGAAAAATAGATACCTTTTCTGGAAAAGAGTAGGGACAGCAGGCCTTAGAAAACATGCTGTGCAATTCCATTGGTCACTGTGGCTCCTAGTATGAAATGGTTGCCCACGTGGTACCTAGTAACCACAAGACCCCACGAGGCCTAAGTCTGGGCTTCTTTAGGAACTGGTACTTGACCTGCTCTGGGCCTCAGTTTCCATATAGGTAAAATGTGGTCTTTGGAGCACGGTTTTTCTAGTCCTAATACCCTGGGAGTTCTTTCTCCCAAGATCTAGGGTCTCCCTGGACCCATTTGAGGATGGTAGCTGGGCTCTGAGTAGGTGGCAGTGCACTTTCAGGATAGCATGTGCCTTATGCTTTAGTCAGTGTACCATGTGGACCTAGGTATTTCCTCTGTCAGGAAGCTTTCCTGGATTTCCTCTCCCAGGAGATGTACTTGCCTGGATCATTTCATTCAGCCTTCTGTTTTTTGTTGGTTTTTTTTTTTGAGACGGAGTTTCGCTCTTGTTACCCAGGCTGGAGTGCAATGGCGCGATCTCGGCTCACCGCAACCTCCACCTCCTGGGTTCAGGCAGTTCTCCTGCCTCAGCCTCCTGAGTAGCTGGGATTACAGGCACGCACCACCATGCCCAGCTAATTTTTTGTATTTTTAGTAGAGACGGGGTTTCACCATGTTGACCGAGATGGTCTTGATCTCTTGACCTCGTGATCCACCCACCTCGGCCTCCCAAAGTGCTGGGATTACAGGCTTGAGCCACCGTGCCCGGCTCAGCCTTCTGTTGAATGCTACTGCTAGTGTTAGGCAGACTTGCTCTTCTGTAGCGACTGAGTTCCTGGAGGGCATGGCTCATGAGGACTCCTCTTGTCTCCCAAGGAGGCCTGCATTGTCAATTATTTGGCAGTTATTTGTCAGAATTCCATGCAGGAAGAGGCCTTGGGACTACAGGGTAGACAGTTCCTGCCATCAGGGAGCCCTCCAGGCTAATGGGAAAGGGCACGGCATTGAGCAGATAATGCCAGCGATACACAACTATGGACTGTGTCAGCTCCTAGAAGAGGGGGTCTAAGAGGGGACCTAATGTAGGCCTGGAAGGATTGACCTTCAGGTGGAGCCCTGAAGAACAAGTATAAAGGTTTGAGCAGTGAAGTAATAAATTATATATATATGTATGTGTGTGTATATATATATATATTTTAACCATCTAATCAAGCATCTCTGCTTACAGATAAAGAGACTGGGGTGAAAGTAAAATGAAGGACCACCACTATCTGGCTGCCCTAGAATCAGAAGCCAAAAAGGCTTCTGGGGATAAAGAAGTCAGTCTACCTAAAGCCAGAGAACTGTTGGGAGATACAAAGGGAATCTAAGGCTGAAATGCTGGTGGCAGGCCCCAAAACTCAGTCCTGAGAACGCTTCATTTTCAATTGACTGGGAACCATCACAAGGTTCTAATGGGAGTTGGGGAGTAACCCACTCAGAACAGGCTTTAAGATGGGATTCCGTCAGGAAGGAACAGGACAGCATTTGAGTGGTGAAAGGAGCAGGGCCACAGACATAGCTACTGCCTTCTCTAGATCACTGGGATTGGGGAGAAGTAGACCTAAGGAGTGAGTGTGGACGAGGAAGGGATGGTAGGTGAAGGGGCAGGCTGGGGAGGAGGAAGCAGTGAGAGATGTTAGAAGGAAAGCCAATTCCTGTCGAATAGCTGCAGGAAAGGAGGCCAGAGATTTCACCTGTGTCCATTCAGTGGGCAGAGCCAAACCCTGTCTCCTGGCAGCCAATGCACAGCTCACTTACCAACCCACCAAAATGTGTGAAAGGGCCACCTTTCTGAAAAGAGGAATGACTGAAGAAGTGCTCTCCTTGATGGAAGATGCTCCTGCTTGGGGGGCTTGGCCAGTGTCAGCCCAGCAACCCTCCCTCCCCAGTATCTTCCTAAAAGTTCCAGGAAGAACAGAGTTTGATCTGCCAGGCTTCAGTGAGAGAAAGAAGTATGTTGAGAAAAACTTCGATTGTAGAGCAGGCTTGAGGTAAGGAAGAGAACCTGGCTAAGCAGCAACTGAAGGTCTCAGACAGAAGCCCTGGGTCTCCCTTTGGGATATGGAAAAGGCCTCAGAGCCTGGGCCCAGATAGACTTGAAGGACTGAAGAAGCTTGGTGCAAGGCTTCAGGGAGCCCCAGGCCTTACGCCCTGCCTTTGTGACTGCACCTCACCCATCAAATTGAGACCTACCACCACCACAGCATCTGCCTCAAGGCACAGTCTCCACAAATGTTATTTCCTCTGTTTTGTGGCCCCCTGCCACTGGCCTTTACTAAGCTCCAGCCCGTAGGGATATGATCTGATCCTCCAGCTCTCCCACTCATTCATTCACATGAGGAACATTTGCCAGGCTCTTTTCCAAGCCCTGAGAAGCTGGTGCAGAATAAGACCATGCCATCCTTGAGGAACTCAGATCAGCAGGAGGGAGGGCACTGAGTCATTCTTGTGGGAAGATAATACCATGTCATTAAGGCATTAGTAGAGTTAGGGAGAGATTATTTGGGAGACCATATCTCAGTACATCTATGTGAGTTCATTAATCATTTTTTTACTTTCTCTGAAGAGGCAGTATCCTAAAAAGGAAAACACTAAGGTGTAGCTTTTTTTTCTAGGAGACCAAAATCCTCAGTTTGAGTCCCTACTTAGCCACCAGCTTGCCCAGCAATCCTCCATGGATTTCCCTCTCTTGGAGAATAATCCCTGTGTGTCTAGCCTCCTCCCAGTGAGGAATCAGAGCAGGCATATGTTTGAGAATACTTTGTCAAATATCCCAAAGGGTCAGATATGACCCTTCTCCAAAGACTAATCCTCTGGGTGGTTCTGGCTTCTCACTCCTTTTCCTGGACAGCTTGTGGAGAGCCTGTACTTTGACAGCTCAACACCTCTTTCAAAGCCAAACCCTCTGCCAGCCTCATGCCCCACACTGATAGTGGTGATCTCCAAGGAGGGGGCAGGGAACCATGTGGCCTTGTTCTTACTCTTCTCTAGGCCTGTTTCCCCATTTATAAGTCAAGGAGGGGGCTGGACCAAGAAGTCTTTAACATTTCCAAAGCTGTCTTCTGTGAAACATCAGTGACATTTATCCTTGTTATTTTAGTCTTAGAGATAGTGATTGAAAGGGTATTAAGACAAGTGTTTAATCAAAAGATCTTTTGCATTAAAAAAATAAACTTTAAATCTCTTGGGTGCAGAACTGTCAAGGATCTCAGTTTAGAGCCAAATAAGACGTGGAAGGGTCTATGAGGCAGGAAAGATAGACAAAGCCCTTCAGTAATTCCATATTGTTATGGTCCCAGTCCCTTGGCTTGGACATCAAGGCCCTGCACAACCTTTGAAGATAAGGGCTTAGTCTTTATTCCTTTACCAAGCACGAAACCTGCCCGACCAGGCCTGCCATGGTACATGCTGGTTGGCTGACCTGGTGGCTAGATGGATAGGTGGCTCAGTTGCTAAGAGTCCCTAAGTAATTGGGTGACCTAGTCTTTCCTAGAAGGAAAGGAATTCAGTTTGCCTCCCAAATCTCTTGGAAACTCTGAAGTAACAGAGATTATTTTCCAGCCTCCAGACTAGTATTTGGACAAAGTTATGTGAGAACCTTATAAAGGGTTACATGGCCTGGCATCCTCACTGTGGCAACAGCCCACATGTGGTTTAGGAGTAGCCCCGCCAGGTGGTAGATACCCTGTAAGATCTGGATGTAGGTGGGCTCCTGAGTCACTGGTAAGCTGAGGGGAATTCCCTCTGCTTCCTTCTTTCTACTCTTCTCACACCCTAACCCTGGATATGGCGCTATCTACCCTGGATATGTCACTCCCCAGCTTTCCCACTTTTATGAGTGCCTCCCCATAGGCTGGCAGACAGGAGTGTAGAGTGTGAACCACTGCTTCACAGGGAGTGGACTGAAGCTCTGCTGAGAGGTTTCTCCAACTTGCCCAAGAGTTCACAGTTAGGCCAGGTTGGCCTTTGATTCCTGAACTCTGACCACATACTTAGGTGGTCCTCTGCGTTGCTCGTTTTCCATTTCCGTCTTCTCCTCCCCTTCTAGATCATGAGTGTCTTCTTTAGAGTCACAGTCTGAGAACTCCCTGCAGCCCTGCCTCACTGCCACACACACCCATCTGAGCATGTCACTGAGATTTAAGTCCTTTGGTCCTATTCCCTCAGATCACTCTGAGGAAAAACCTGCCTCAGTCCAACCCCCAGATCCCAGCTGCAATACTGTGGGGGTTAGACTACTATTCAAGATGGGCTGGGCCATTTGGGGGCTGCTCTTTGGTGGTTGGCTTTTGGTTTTGTTTGTTTTTACTTACTGGCCAGATAGGATCCAGTTCTTATTTCCACCCTCAGAGCCATTTTTAAGAATGCCATATGGTTCCATTTTGTACTGACAGGAACTGGGGACCACAGGCGCATAGCACACACCACAGCTACTGTGACTAATCGCTCTGGCAGCTGTGCCCTCCTAACAGTCTGGGCGTGCAGTATGAGTGATGTTCAGAACCAGAAAGATTGGATTGGGCCTCCTGATCCCTGGTCGTGACAACACCACTGCACCTCTAGTCCTGTCTCTCCAGTCCCTTGATCTTTCCCATATCCATCTCCTTCTTTTAATTCTTTTAATCCATCTCTTGCTGAACAGTCATCTCTCTGAATGTTGCTGAACAGATGTCTCTCTGCTTCCAATCTTCTCTCTTTCAACCCATCAACCAATTGGCCACCGTTGGCCATCTTTACCAGCTTAGGTCATCTTCTGTGGCTCTTAGCTTAACTTTGTCCTTCCCTATTGCCTAGAGGATGGCATTCTCTCTGTTAATGGAGCAGAGCATTTCAGTCTGGTTCCCACCTTCCCCTAGGTGTTCCTGCTCTGCTTCTGCAGGTGCCCAGCCAGATGAGCCCACCTGTCCTCCTGGAAGAGATGGCCTGTGTCATATGAGAGTCCAGGAGATTGCCCAGGGAGAAGGTGTGGAGGGAGGGGTTTTGAGAAGGAATGTGAAGTCTCTTGTGGTAAGCAGCACCAGCAAGATGACCAAGAAGAGGCAATTGGGCTAGTCAGGAGGTCTTGTCATCCATATTGGGGTCAGCAGAGCAATGGAGACAGACATCACATCACCATGGGAAGAGAAGAGAATGAGAGGAAGAAGTGGAGATGAGAAGAACGGATCACCTCTTCCAACTATGAAAGGAAAGAGACAGATAAGTTGAAGTGACCTGTTTGGATTGTTCTTTTTTGATTAGCTAATATTTGGCCTGTGCTTTTCTGGATAAGGCCCTGATGAGCATTTTGTCAACAATACCTCTCTGAAACCTTCAGAGAACATCCTAGAGTTGACATGGTTTTGCCCACTATACAGAAGAGCTTCAAAAGATGAAGCCACTTGTCCAAGATGGGGGGCAGAGCTGGGATTTGTGCCCCATTTGGTCATCTTCCAGAGCCTCACTTTCACCACTGTCCCTGTCTTCCCTGCGGTTGTGAGGGAAGGTAGAATGAGGAGATGGAGGGCTGCCTGCAGTTAGGGAGCTGGGGCAAAGGCACCAGGGAGGCTCCCGGTGCTCAGATAGGACTGGACGTCTGGGACACACCACTTTTCAGAAGGAGAAGGGACTAGGGAAGAAAAAGACTATTTTTAAAAGCAAAATAGGAGATGTGAGCCCATTAAAAATGAGGAAGAAAGGAATAAAATGTTGAACAAGTATCTGAGTGAGGATAATCTGAAAAGTAAGGAATAAAATGTTGAAAAAATATCTGAGTAGAGGATAATCTGAAAAGTAATGAAATGACATCAAGAAGACAAAGGCCAACAGCAAACTGGGATAAATGATGGCCTGTGTCCAAAGCGGCCTGGAGTGGACGGCACTCTATGGACAGGTGGGGGCTTAGCCTTGGATAGCAAGCATGCAACGACCCACCCACCCAAACCTGGGAGGCTTAGCACTCAGCAGGTGACCTCATCTGTCCTCAAGCCATCACTGGGAGATGCTCAATAAATATTTGCTGGGGTGAAATAAACAACTGAAATGGGGAATTAAATCAAAGAGGAAAAATAACCGTTGTTAAGCTATTGATGATAGAAGTGGCTGGGTGCTGTGGCTCACACTTATAATTCCAGCACTTTGGGAGGCCAAGCGGGTGGATCACCTGAGGCTAGGAGTTCAAGAGTAGCCTGTACAACATGGCAAACCCCTCTCTTTACTAAAAATACAAAAAATTATCTGGGCATGGTGGCGTGCACCTGTAATCCCACTTATTCGGGTGATAGGCATGAGAATCACTTAAACTCGGGAGGCAGAGCTACAGTGAGCCGAGATCATGCCACTGCACTCCAGCCTGGGCAACAGAGTAAGACCCTGTCTCAACAAAAAAAGAAAAAGATGATAGACGAAGGCCAGGATTCATCCTTGGCCAGTTAAGTGGGGCTGCCTAGAGTATTGAGAATTGATACCTACATGGCAGTCAGGACTAAGATAACCAACACCTCCTATGGGCACAGTTTACAAGGGTGTTTTTTTTTTTAATTAATTAATTTTATTTATTTATTTTTGGCAGGAGGGGTCTCACATACTCATGGTATTCCCCATTTAGGGTCTTGAGGTTTGAGGACCCTGTATAGACTTACCCTCAGTCTGTTGGGTGAGTTTGCTTCTATCACTTGGATTCTTGATTATCCCTATTTTTTAGAGGCGAGAACAAACTTCTGGTCTTCTAGAAAGAATTGGCAAATAGGCCTGTCCTCCTCTGACTTCACTATCTTGAACAATATACTTAAACAATATGCCACTTTCCTGAACAATATACAAGTTCACCATGTAATTATTTTAGAACCCAGGTTCAAATATTTTTATGGTCAAGATTTGATGAGCAAAGTCCTCACACTGAGTTCTCCCAGCAAGGATGCTTTCCACTCACTTGCTGGGTGGCTGTGAATCACCTCCCCTCACTGGGCCTTGGTTTCCCCATCTGTGAAATGAGGTAGTTGCATTAGATAATTCCACAGTTCCCTTCCAGCTCTAGCATCACCCTCAGATACCCTGGTGCCTAGAGCAGTAATTGAACAAGGAGCACGGTGACCCCGCGTTCTGGGTCAAGTCCTCATCTTGGAGCATGGAGGAATCGTGATGATGGCCGCAGCCCCTGGAAGATTAATTTGGCAGGAGCTGGCTGAGATGATCTTTTTCTGCTGATGGTGAAACGTGCTGACAGGGTCTATACAGGTAGGTTGGTGCAGGTGAGGAATGGGGTGGGCACTTTGTCTCTTGTGACCCCTGAGTAATGTTTCCTTGCAGAACTGGAAGCCTCCAGGACAGATTGTTGCCAGCTAGATTTAGCCATTCACATTGGCAAGGCAGGTGACCCATCTTTCCACACACTCTTCTGTCAGGGCTTCCAGAAAGGCTTTCTGCTCCATCCCTTAAACACCTCCATGTATTTCACTGTCACTGTGCCTGGAATCATACCTTCCTGTAGCGTTCCAGTTCCCTGCTCTGTTGGTATGTGCTCTGAGAAGGCTGTGACCATAAGTGCCACAATCAGCCAGGCATAGCTAAGCTCAGAGCCAGAGCCAGGAATGGAAGGGTTACCCAAAATTGAGGCATGGACTGTTGATTCAATACAAAGAGAAAGAGTCTGTTCCAACTTCAGAGCACACACCCAAATTCAGAAATTATTTTCAAAGATCAAAAGAAAAACTGAACCCTTTAAAAACCAGTGGGGAAAAGAATATTTAACAAGTGACTGAATGGGAGAGCCCATTTAAGCTAAAAAGCAACAAAATGATATCAAGAAGGCAAAGGCCAACCAATTTGACTACACTAAAACAAAATATTTTCAAAGTCGAGTAATATCACAAACAACCAAAAAGCAGAGGGTTGCAGATTCTTGAAGTATAAAAGAACACACCCAAAACTTTAATAGTAAAAGCAAAACAGGTAAGTGTGTGTAAGTCACCTGAATTGAGTTTATAGGAAAAGAAATGGAATTGACTGGAAAACTTGTTGAAAAAATGTTCAGCTTCACTAATAACCAAAGATCAATAATGAAAACGATAAGAAAATACAAATTTTCCCTAACAAATTAGGGGAAAAAAATTAAGAATACCCAATGTTGATGAGGATACAGTGGAATAGGCACTGTTACACACTACTGGGTGAATGTGAATTGTGTACACTTCTTGGAAAGAAGAGAGAAGTTTTAAGAGACGGTAAGTAGCCTGTAACTTGATTCAACATTTATTGAGTGTCTACTAGGTGTCAGGCATGATGCTAGGTTTTAAAATATTGGCCAGGCACAGTGGCTCACGGTTGTAGTCCCAGAAGTTTAGGAGGCCAAGGCAAGAGGGTTGCTTGAGCTCAGAAGTTCAAGACCAGCCTGGGCAACATAGCCAGACCCTGTATCTATAAAAATACACGTGTGCACACACACAAAGATAAATATCCCTTTCCTCAGGAGGACAGAGAGGTAAGAAAGACACACAGACAAACAGATACATAGGAAGAAGGCCAGAGCTATGCCTGGGACATGGTAGCATGGGGCAGCTAGGGTTGGTGGTACAGGTGTGAAATTTTATGGGAATATCCAAGGAGGTTCCTAGAAGAGGTGACTGGATGGGTAGGAGTTATTCAAGTAGAAAGCAGAGGCAGAGGTGAGCGGCATCATGGATGAACTCGTAGACAGCTGGGAGTTGTTGAAGCATGAAATGAGAGGTTGGGGTGGAGAAAGCAGAACCAGGTCACATAGTGCTAATACGTACATCTAATTCAAGACTTGGGTCTTCAGTTAAACAACAAAGAGCCCCTGTAGCATTCACTGCAAGCAGGTCCATGGTAGGATTTCTTTTTTAGGGTGATTAGTTGCTTGGAGAAATTTGGAGGTATGAGAGCCAGAGAGGAGGTGATTCCCTTGGTCCAGGTGGGGTCCAGGAAGGATAAGGGTAGGGGCAAGAGGGTGGAAGTGGTCAGATCCAGGAGGTGAAACTGGGAGAATCTGCTAACTGGTAGGTTGATGGTGTTAATGAAAGAGAGTAAAGGATACCTTTCCTCTTTCGTCTTGAGTACTGGGTGAAAGGAAGAACACCCAGGAGAAAGAGCAGGTTTGGGGGCTGAGAGAAAATTATTAAGCTCATTTTTGGACAAGCTGAATCAGAGTTGGGCATCCAGGAGGAGGTGGCCTGAAAGGAGCTAGATAGAGGGTCTGCATCCCAGCAGGAGATTTAGACAAGAAATTTGGGTTGAGACTATGGTGCTTGTAGCCATGGGCTTCAGTGAACTGGCTCTAGGAGAACATGCCAGCTGAGAAAAGACAGGGTGTCCAGGAACAAGAGTTTGCCCCCATTTGAGAGGCAGACAGAGAGAGGCGAGCCCACAAAGGTGAAAAAGAAGTCTGAGAGACATAGAGCACCTGCAGCCTGTGTTGGCATGGAAACCTGGGGATGCGGAGTGTTTCCAAAAGAGAATTGGCAGCAGACACAAGAGAAAGTCCAGCTAGATGGGGACTGAGAGCCCACTGGATGTAGAGACCCTCATCAAGAGCAGTTTCCTGTGACAGATTGGGCAGAGGAAAATGAAAAGGCAAAGAAAGCAGGCAGCATGGCCACCTCTCGGGGAGAAGCAGCTATAATAACAGTTTGGGCCACGGGACAATTTCTGAGCTGGATCTGGACTGAGATGACATAAGGATAGATGTGATGGGGCAGTCCAAAAGGCTGTCACCTAGAGTCCTCCTGCCTGTCTGAGTCAGAGGCAGGAGCAAAGGACAAGGGTGGGCAAGGAAGGAAAATGTGCATTAGTGACCTTGACCATAGTTGGCATCAAGTAGGAAAGTGTATGTGCCTGTTAGGAGCTTACCAAAGAAGTTTGCACATCTCAACAGGAATAGATGAACCAGAGATGCACTCAAAGAAGGACAGGGCCAGAAAGGAGTTCGTGACATTTTAGGAATGAGTACAGAAGAGTCCTGCTGAGGACACTGAGAAGTAGGCGCCAGAGGAGAAGACCAAAAACATTGGGTTTCTAGAAGCCCAGGGAGGAGAGTTCCCAGAAAGACAGTGGCCACTGGTGGGTCATATTCACAAAGGTTAGTGGAGGCTCAGGCATCTCCTAGATTGGCCTTTGGGGACTTTTGTTACAGCGACTTCTGGTCAAGGGGCAGAAGTCCCTCTTGGTGTGTGGGGAATGAACTGGGTCTGGCTGAGAAAGGAGGGAGAGGGAGCTGGAGCAGGCAGAGGGTCCAGAAAGGAGCTGATTCTTCCAGGAGACCTGGGAAGGAGGAAGCTGTGCAAGCCCAGTTGGTAGAGCAGGGCCGGGCAGTGAGAGGGGCCCAGGAGCGCTGGGATTAAGTGTAGAGGTGAAGGGATTAGCTGTGTTGGTGGAAAGGGACAAAAGTAAATTATGTACATTTTAGCAAGTAACCTAATCTTCAGGTTCTTTAGGAACCTTTTCTCTGCCCTCTGGGTACTGATTCCAGCTCTAATTAGCAGTGGTTTCATCTGCCTCGTGGCTGGGGCCATGTCTTTCTCATTTTTTCATACCTTTCAGCACCTAGCAACAGGCAGCTAGCTAGGTAGGGGGAGAGTAATTATTTTCTGCTTGAAATCCATTGTCTAAAATGGGAATTCAGAAATTTTTCTTTGTATCAAAAAGACTTCGTGACAATATCCAGGATGCAATGAAATAGGTAAGGCTTGGGTCACAGGCTTGAATGTGACATTCAGGGTCGCCGTAGCAGTTCAATTTTCTTTTTTTGCTCTGCCCCTTCCCCCCCAGCCCCCCGGCCCCCACAATCATAGCAGTTCTATTTGGTGGTATTGCCTAGACATCAAAGAATTCTATTTCTTCCCTATCTGGACAGAAGTCAAAGTCCAGAGAGAGGCTTGGGCCTTGTACCACTCCCTGATAGGACCAGAGTGGTAAGAGACAGGACCTAGAGGAGGGACCTCCATGGCTTCCATGTGAGAGAACAGTTCATGTCCCACCACAGCCACATAAGATGACAAATTTCCTAAAATATAATAAGGGGCTTCAGGGAAGAATAAGCATGCTTAAAAGCCAAAACTCCCAGATATCCGTTAGAAGAAGTAGCCAGCTCGGAAGCTGGAGACTTCCAGGTGAGAGAGGGAAAGGCCTGAACTAGACCAGTGGGGAGGAGATAGATCAGAACTTGTGGTAGATAAAAACCAGAAATAATTAGTGAGTAATTATCTGTGAGAGTGAGGAGAAGGTCAAGCCAAAGGTGATTCCCATGTGTTTTGGTTTGGTTTGTTTGTTGGGTTTTTGTTGGTTTGTTTGTAGAAACAGGGTCTCACCATGTTGTCCAGGCTGGTCTCCATCTGCAGGGCTCAAGCAGTCCTCCCACTTTGGCCTCCCAAAGTGCTGAGATTACAGGCATGAGCCACTGTGCCCAGCCCCGTGTGTCTTGACTGGAGTCCTCGGTGGATGGTAGGGGGACTCTGGAGTGGGCAACACAGCAAGGTGAGCCAGTTTGAGGGACAAGATAGTGGACTCAGACACAGCCAAGTGGGGCCCAGCAGACACTTGGATCCTGGTGTCTAGGACTCAGGAAGATATTCAGCTGGAAGCACTAGCCCAGGGATGTCCCCACTCAGAGCAATGGGGACCCTGGGCATAAGTGAGATCACCAGGGAGAGTGTAGAGAGAAAATGGGAGAGGGCCCAGGGCAGAATCATGAGTCACAGAGACATTTAAGGAACCAATCAAGGTGTGGGCAGGCGAAAAAGAGAAAGAGAAGGAAGGGCCTGAGAGATGCGACAAACAACCAGGAGAGTGGGTTGCCATGACAACCAAGGTAGGGAAGCGTTTCAAGGAGAAAGTAATCAACACTGTCAAATGCAGCAGAGAATTCCAATAAGATATAGAGAATTTTTCCTTTGGATTCCATGATTAGTAAGTTTGGATGGCCTTCATAAGAGCATGTTGAGGGAATGATGGCCTAAGCTGGAGTAATGATGAGATGTGAGAGGACATGGATCTGTCACTAAGAGTCCTCTAAGAAGTCCAGAAGTAAGATTTGGAGACATGAAGGATAGGGGCTGGGAGGCTGAGGCTAGGAAAGATGAACAGGTGTATGGGTTCAGCTCCCAAAGTGTTAAGCATCCATTGTTTAATGCTAAAGTTGATACATTCCACATCATTCTCTTTTAACAAAATTGTGTGCCCAGCCCAGCAGTGTGCCTAGCACCATGGATACTTGGGTGAATGAATTGAAATAGTCAGAATCCCTGCTCTCCTGGTTCGTGCATGGTAGTAGGGGAGAAAGACATAATCAGATAATCACCTACATGAATGTACAATTTCCAGCATTGATAGGCACTCTGAAGGAAAGATACTGAGTACTGGAGGGTGTGCCACAAGGGGACTTACTCTCATCTGACTCTGGGGGGCTTCCCTGAAGAGGTGATCCTCCTAACCAAGATAGGAAGAAGGGAACAAAGTTAACTGGACAAAGCAAATTGGAAAGCATTCTGAGCAAAGAGCCGGCCTAGGGAGGAAGGAGAAGTGAGACCAGACAGGCAAGCAGTTCTGGCTATGCAGAGCTTTGGAGACCAGGGCTGAGCTCCTGCCAGCCTCCTGAGAGCGAGGGAAGCAGGGGATGTGACCTGCCCTGGTGTGTGGCTGTAATCTGCCTGACACTCTGGCTGTTCTGTGGAGAAATTATTAAGGCAGCATGGGTAGACTTAGGCAAGTTTGGAAGCTTTGTGGTGGTGGACAGGATTTGGACACAATCTGCATATTCTGGTTAGTCTTGGTGTTGAATGGAATGAAGAGGGGCTGGAAGAGGACAGTGTTCTGGATGACTCCTGAGCTTCTGGCTTGCCTTACTGGTGAGATGGCAGTGCCATTTTGAGAGCTGGGAGCCCTGGAAAGGGGCCAGGTCTGTAAGGTAGTCCCAAGTCTGGTGGTAATAGCTGAGACATCCCAATGGAGATAGGGAAGAAATGGCTGAAGGCACAGCTCCTGAGCACAAGGTGAGAAATTATGGAGAGCAGTCCAGAGCTCAGAGGGGCTCCCAAATGAAAATATGGATTCAGAGGTTGACAGGCTTCTGGGGCATTTTGAGGCCAGAGAATGGCTGAGGACAATGAAATCAAGCCCAAGGAGCACCAACATTCAGAGATTAGAAAAGAGAAGAGGAATCATCTGAGAGCACTGAAAAGAAAGAGCCAGGAGGTGTATCAGCAGAAAGACGAGGTGGTCAGCAGTGGGTGTGTACAGAGAGGTCAGGAGGACCAGGTGATCCCTGAGCTCCTCGAGTGTACACCTGCACCAGTGGTGCCTCTGGAACTGGGCAGCATGGTGGCCCTGCTGATTGGCAACCCAAGTGACCTCTTAGAATCTGCCAGAGCAGTTTGGGTGGAAGTCCATTAAGGAAAGGAGGAGGAAGATCCAGGGCATTTACATCTTAATCTTAAAGGAGGGAGCAATGCTGGCAGATGAACATTCTGAGGGTAAGCAGCCTCAGTAGCTGAGTGATTAGGGATGAAGACAATTCGTGAAATGAGCTCCCAAAGGGGCTGGGATCAACTGTGGAGGTGGATAAATTAGTTTGGGGGGATAATGTATATTTGACTGAATGGGGCAAAATTATGTACCTTTTAGAGAGTAACTTGATCTCCATGTTCTTTTGGGAGCTTTTATCTGAACTGTGTACCAACTGTAGTGCTAATTAACACCAGTCTTGTCTTGTCTTGTGGCTGGGATTGTGTCTTACTAGTTTGTGTGCTTCTTAGCACCTAGCAACAGGTAGTAAGCTCTTTGGGTGCCGAATCAGTATTTTCTGCCTTTGAATCAAATGTCAGAAGTCAACATTCAAACTTATTTTGACCAAAAAGAATCTATGACAATTATCCAGAAGTTACAGTGCCACAAAGAAAGCTGGACATTAAGTCTTGCGTAGCAGGGGTTATGGGGGGGGGGTGGGTCAAGAAAAAGTAGAGGTATCTGCTCCCCTCATCCTTGTAAGCTCGATGCCATTTATCTATGCTAACATTCATCATCTCATACGACCTTCACATTTCCCCACAAGAAATGGAGCGTTACCTCGTCACCTACTCATAAAGGTGGAACTGGAAGCCAGAGGAGGAGATGCCTTATTGACACAGAGCACAAGCAGCAGGAGCTGGCTTCAGACCTCAGTCCATCCGGTATGGCAGTCCCTCTTCCCAGGACCAGGTGGAGCTGGAGAGAAAGAGGAAGAGGAGTTTGTGAGGTCCAGATGGAGATGCTCGGCAGGCCCTTGCCAAAGGTGGGAGGTGAGGTCTGCCTGGAACCCTACCAGGTGCTAAAGTGTCCTGTTGCACTCTGCTGATGAAATCAGGTCCCCACCACAGCGTATATACATTGTGTGTTTGCATCTAAAACATCTATAGTTGTTTGAAATGTTTAAATCTTTAGCCCATCTGAAATGTATTTTCATGTATGGTGTGACACAGAGCTCTAATTTGCTCTTTTTCCAAATAGATATCCAGTTTGCTAAGCACCATTTATTGTTCCAATACCACCTTTTCTCTCAATTTCCTATGTCTAGACTCCAGTTCTATTGATCTATTTGTCTATTTCTGAGCTAATAGTACATATTAATGAGCAAAGCTTTATAAAGTGTCTTATGGCCTGTTGAGAGACGCACTCCACCCCTTCCACCAAGGCCTTTATTCTTTTTTTTCTTTCTGAGACGGAGTCTCACTGTCGTCCAGGCTGGGGTGCAGTGATGCAATCTCTGCTCACTTCAACCTCCACCTCCCAGATTCAAGTGATTCTCCTGCCTCAGCCTCCTGAGTGGCTGGGACGATAGGCACATGCCACCATGCCTGGCTAATTTTTGTATGTTGTTGGTAGAGATGAGGTTTCACCATCTTGGCCAGGCTGGTGTTGAACTCCTGACCTCAAGTGATCCACCCACCTCAGCCTCCCAAAATGTTGGGATTACAGGTGTAAGCCACCGCACCCAGCCCCTTATTCTTTTTAAAAATCGTCTTGGTCATATTGCACATTTACTTTTTCAGGTACATTTTATAATCAGCTTCCATGAACAAAATATCTGTTGGAAGTTTGAGAAGAATTGCATTAAAGGAGAAATTAACATCCTTAGAACATCAGTTTTTCCCGTCTGTGAACATGGTGTCTGTCTCCTTTTAATCAGAATTGTATTGATGTTATTTTGTTTTTAATGCCTTTTAGTAAAGGTTGGTGGCTTTTGTCATAAAGATTTTTCACATTTCTTAATAGGTTTATTCCTGAGTACCTTATTAGTTTTGCTGCTTTTGTGAGTGGAAAAACTTTCCTTTTTTTTTTTTTGATTTTGCTTTCCAAATTTTAATCAGTTCACTAATCACTATGTTTCATTCAGACACACACACAGCAAATGTGCTTTGTCCCTGGACACACAAATGAAACACAGCACACATGTAAATCAGAGCTAATTAGCTGAAAATGAAGTAGAATTTTTGAATTAAATTTTAATTATACAAGTAATACATGAATACATTTTCCTTTAAATAGAATTAGAGCATTTCAGGTAAAGAAGTCTCCACTGGCCTCCCCAGCCTGATGTCAGGGCCCCCACTCTAGAAGTAGCTGCTGTGAGGCATTTGCTGTTGATCCAAAATGTTTTCCTCTGCACATTGAAACATGTCCTGTGTTCTATTGTTGTTTTTGTTTGCTTGCATAGATGTGGTGGTGTACACACTGGAGGTGCTGCTCCTGAGCTCAGGGCGCCCTACGGGACTCTCTTCATGTTGCACATCGCCTGCCACAGCGGGCTCCACTGCCCCTTTCAGCTGGCTGCTGGCAACCAGAACTGATGGTGCTATGATTTATTTAGTTGCTGCTTATAAATCGGATAGTTCTAACTATCTCCGATACTTAGAAATGGAATCGATGGGTCATAAAGTGTACACATCTTAAATTCTAACAAACACTGCCAAAATGTTCTTCAAAGTGCCTTTCTAATTTAATTTCATGCCAGCAGTATGTATGTCCATTTCTCCAGACCATCTCCAGGTTTTACATTTTAACCAATCTGGAGGGGAGAAAAATAGTATCTTGTTTTAGTTTGCATTTTTCTGAATTACCAGGATGGCTGAAGTCTGTGTATTTCCTGTCCATTTATAGTTCCTTCTCTGCATTACTTGTCCATATCTTTTACCCTTTTTTTTTTAGGGTATGTTTTCTTTTCCTTATTGATTTTTTTAAGACGCTCTTTATGTATTTTGTATACTTTATGCATATTGCAAATATTTTCTGCATTGTGATTCTTGTCATTTAATTGTAGTATGTCTTTTGAGAAATTTAAAATTTTGATATCTATTTGAATTTTATGTCTTTTTGCAATGTATTTCAGAAAGCCTTTCCTGCATCGAGGTCCTATGCATTTTTCCTGTATTTCTTCTCTAACATTTATCGTGTGTGTGTGTGTGTGTGTGTTTGAGAGGGAATCTCACTCTGTCACCAGGCTGGACTACAGTGGCATGATCTCGGCTCACTGCAATGTCTGCCTCCCAGGTTCAAGTGATTCTCCTGCCTTAGCCTCCCGGGTAGCTGGGACTACAGGGGGTGTGGCACCATGCCCAGCTAATTCTTGTATGTTTAGTAGAGATGGGGTTTCAGCATGTTGGCCAAGATAGTCTCAATCTCTTGACCTCGTGATCTCCCCGTCTCAGCCTCCCAAATTACTGGGATTACAGGCATGAGCCACTGAGCCTAGCTATTTAAGCCTTTTTACCACATGCAAAAAATAAAATTCCATATGCATGCATGAATCTTAGGATCTAACTTTAATTCCCCCTGATCCTCCCAACAATAGATAAGTAATTGTCCCATTACCACTTGTAGAATTCTATATCATTTTCCCACTAATTTAAAATTGCTACCTTTGTCTGATACTAAATCCCAGTAGGGCTCTTTCTGGTCCACTGATCTATTTGTTTGCTCTTGAGCTTCATAATATGCTTTGCTAACTAGCAGGACAAATCTCACCCTCTTTGTTGTTTTTGCAAAATTACCTTGGCCATTCTTGCATATTAGTCCTATCATATGAATTTTAAAATAAGCCTTTCAAGTTTTGGGAAAATTTCTGCTGGGATTTTAATGGGGTTACAGGTGAGTTTTATGGTTTTCTCTGGTTAAAGTCTGGTATATTTCTTGTTGAAAGTATTCCTAGGTATATTATAGGCTTTGCTGTTAACTGTGAATAGTTTGCCCTCTGCTCCTATTTGTTTGGCCCTTGCTTTTTCATATCCCATTTCAACATGTTTACTAATCACTGTGCTTGATTCGCAGACACACACACAAAGTAAATGTTCTCCCTCCCAGGGCACAAACATTTGAGCACAGCCAAATGCACAGAGGTGGCGTAATTGGCTGAAAACAAATTAGAATCTTTTCAAATTATACTTTAAACAAGTAAAGTGTGCATACATTCTCCTTAAAAGTGGAACAATATGAATATAACTGTAGTCCCCTTTGGCCACCTGAGATTCTGGCTCCTGCCCCCTCCACAGAGGTAGCTACTGTAATTATGTATTTCCTTCCATAGTAACATATAGTATTGATGTAGATATTTTGAATAAATTATCCCACAACATAGATATTATACTCTGTATCCTCTGTTTTTCACTTAGTTATATCTTCGAGCTCCACCTGTGTTGGTTCCTATAGCAACTCTTGTTTGCCCCCCAATTCTTCTTTTGTTCTTAAGACAGAGTCTCACTCTGTTGGCCAAGCTGGAGTGCAGTGGCACAATCTCAGCTCACTGTAACCTCCAGCTCCCGGGTTCAAGTGATTCTCTTGCCTCAGCCCTTCGAGTAGCTGGCATTACAGGCGTGTGCCACCAAGCCCAGCTAATTTTTGTGTTTTTAGTAGAGATGGGGTTTCATCATATTGACCAGGCTAGTCTGGAACTCCTGACCTCATGTGATCCACCCTCAGCCTCCCAAAGGGCTGAGATTACAGGCATAAGCCACCACACCCAGCCATGTTTGCTCCTTTGAGCAGCTGTGTCATACTCCATATGAATGTTCCATGTTTCCCCTTCTGTAACATCCATAGACCTTTTATTATTATTATTATTATTTTTGAGACAGAGTCTTGCTCTGTCGCCAGGCTGGAGTGCAGTGGCACAATCTTGGCTCACTGCAGTCTCTGCCTCCCCAGTTTAAGCAATTCTCCTGTCTCAGCCTCGAGAGTAGCTGGGCTTACAGGCATGCGCCACCACGCCTGGCTAATTTTCATATTTTTAGTGGAGATGGGGTTTCACCATGTTGGCCGGGATGGTCTCAAATTCCTGATCTCGTGATCCACCTGCCTCGGCCTCCCAAAATTATGGGATTACAGGCATGAGTCACCGTGCCAGGCCCATCCATAGACCTTTAGTTAGTTTTTTTTTCCTGTCTGTTATGAGGAGTGCTGCAGAGAGCATCTTGGTACATGCCTCCTCCTGAAATGCTTCTCTAGGATAGGTACTGAGAGTGGAACTCTGAGTCCTAGGATTGTCTGCTGTTTAAGTTTTAGTAGATAAAGCCCACCTGTCTTCTGAAGTGGCTGTGCCAGTTTGAACTCCCTCCACAAGTAAATGTGGATCCTCATTTTTCCACATCACTGCCAGATTTTCAACTTCACAGATCTGAGAGGTGAAAATGTGGTTTCTTCTTATGTCTTTAATTTGTATCTCTTGAATGACTGGTCACACTAGTGACCAGTTCTCCTCGTGGGCTTACTGATCATTTTTCTTTCCTCCTGTTGGGCTTATCTTTGGATATTCTTTGTCCATCTTTCTGCTGGGTTGTCTTTTTCTTACTGATTTACGGGAATTCTTTATGTTTTCTTGATATTAATTATTCTATGCATTATACATAATTCTCTACCATTCTGACCCTTATCTTTTAACTGTATTGTATCTTTTATTACTGAAGTTTTTATTTTTATAAAAATTTAGAATGTTATTTCATCATAAAAAGTCTCTCTACACACCAAGATCACAACTATTTTTTTCTATATTTTTCCTAAAACTTTGTTTTCTTTCTTGCATTTATATATTACATTATTTTGTCATTTTCATGTTTAAGCCTTTACAGAATGTGAAAGTTATTTTTAGTGTGATATTGGTGTTTAATGTTAATAAATCTCAAAATTAAGAACCAACCTTTTCAATACTGTTTATTGGATAATCTGTGATTTCCCCCATGATTTAAAATTGCTGCCTTTGAGAGCAAATCCCAATGCAAGTCTGTGTTGGCTCTTTCTGGTTTATTCATCTATTGTCTGCTCCTGGGCTTTGCTAACTGGAAAGACAAATATCCCTCTCTTCATTGTTTCTGTAAAATTGCCTTAGTCTTTCTTGCATATTTGTTCCAATATATACATTTTATTTTATTTTTTGAGGCAGGGTACAGGCTAGAGTACAGTGGCACGATCATAGACCACTATACTACAGCCTCAACTTCCCTGGCTCGAGTGATCCTCCTGCCTCAGCCTCCCAAGTAGCTGTGACTGCAGGTGCATGCCGTCACACCCAGCTAATTTTTTGTATATATTTTTAGAGAAGCGGGTCTCACTATGTTGCCCAGGCCAGTCTTGGACTCCTGAGCTCAAGTGATCCTCCCACTATAGCCTCCCAAAGTGCTAGCTGTGCAGGTGTGAGTTGCTGCACCTGGCCCCATTGTATGAATTTTAGAATCAGCTTGTTAAGTTTCAGAATTCTTACTGGAATTTTGTTGGGGTTACTTGAGTTTATGGATAAATTTAAGGAAAACTGACATCTTTATAATATAGAGTCTTCCTACCAAGGCACATTGCTCTACTCTCAATTCAGGTCATCTTTTATGTCTTTCAGGAAAGTTTTATGGTTTTCTCTGGTTAAAGTCTGGTATATTTCTTGTTGAATGTATTCCTAGGTATATTATAGGCTTTGCTGTTAACTGTGAATAGTTTGCCCTCTGCTCCTATTTGTTTGGCCCTTGCTTTTTCATATCCCATTTCAACCTGTTTACTAATCACTGTGCTTGATTCGCAGACACACACACAAAGTAAACGTTCTCCCTCCCAGGGCACAAACATTTGAGCACAGCCAAATGCACAGAGGTGGTGTAATTGGCTGAAAACAAATTAGAATCTTTTCAAATTATACTTTAAACAAGTAAAGTGTGCATACATTCTCCTTTTTAAAAGTAGCACAGTATAAATATAACTGTCATCCCCTTTGGCCGCCCTCTGAAGTCCTTATTTCCTACCGGCTCCACAGTTTTATGTGTCTCCCTCCACAGTGACACATAGTCCTGATGTGTTTTCAATGAGTCATACCACATTATAGGGATTTTACTATAAGCTGCAGGGTTTTTTCACTCAGTCTTACTTTTTTTTTTTCTGTTGAGACGGAGTTTCGCTCTTATTACCCAGGCTGGAGTGCAATGGCGCGATCTCGGCTAACCACAACCTCCGCCTCCTGGGTTCAGGCAATTCTCTTGCCTCAGCCTCCTGAGTAGCTGGGATTACAGGCACACGCCAACATATCCAGCTAATTTTTTGTATTTTTAGTAGAGACGGGGTTGCACCATGTTGACCGGGATGGTCTCGATCTCTTGACCTCGTGATCCACCCACCTCGGCCTCCCAAAGTGCTGAGATTACAGGCTTGAGCCACCAAGCTGGCCCTTACATTTTTACAATATACTCATATTGATACATAGAGCTTTTGCCTTTAATAGCTATATTGTATTCATTCCCATGAATGTAACACATTTTATCTTCTGTAAGCTTCATGGACAGTTAATTGCTTCCCTTTCTCTCCTCCATCATGAGCAGTGCTGCAGAAATCACATTTCACGTTCCTCTGTGGTGGGATCTCTCTGGAGTGATTGAGAAATGAAATGTTGGGTCTCAAGATGTCCACAGTTTTAGTTTTAGCAGATACTACCAAAGTGCCCTCCATGATTTCTAAACCATTTAAGCTTCCAGTCAGGGGGTCTGAGAGGGCTCTAATCCCCACATCCGTAAACAGTTGTTTTAAATATTTGCCAATCTCATGGGTGAAAAATTGAATCCTTTTAAAAATTTGTATTTTCCTGTTTGCTTGTGAGATTTTCATATGCATATCGGGCATTTGTATGTTCTCTTTTCTGAATTGTCTGTTTATGTTTTCTCATTTTAAACATTAGGTTGTCTTTATCCCACTGGTTTGTGGAATATTCTAATATAATCTGGATATTGATCTTTTGTGGATATGTGACACATATTTTCTTCCAGCTTGTCATTGCCTTTAACTCTTTGTACAATCTTTTGCTAGACAAAAGTTAGTTTGGACATAATCCAATTTATCAATCTTTTCTTTTGATCGTTTTTATACAGATACCATGTTTAGTCCTTCCCTACTCCTAAGATTTAAATATTTCTTCTTTTCTAATAATTTTATAATTTTGTTTTTATTTGGTTCTTTGATGCATCTGGAATATATTTTGATGATCACATTGAGAAATGATCTAACCTTTCTCCAAATGGGCAGCCAAGTATCACAATGAGGAGTTAACTAGTTCTTCCTTTCCCCTCTGATCTGAGGTAAAACTCCCTCATATTCTGAGTCATGTTGGCTAGGTGGGTCTGAAGCCCCTGTTTTTCCCACTAGTCTGTTTATTCCTTTCAGTACCAGACTATTTTATTTGCCATCCCACCTTTTGATACCTGTGAAGTCAAATGCCATGTTTCATTGTGCTTCCTTCTCAGCTGTCTTAGCTAACTAGTACCGCACATTAACTCCTCCACATGAATTTTAAAGCCTGCTTGTCATGTTGGAGAAATTGACATCAATACAATACCGAGGCTTTGAATTCATGAATACGGTTGAGCTCCACATTTATTCTTATTTATCTTGTATATCCTTCACTCACACACTATTGTTCTCCCCATAAAGAACTTGCCCATTTCCTAATGGGTTTATTCCTGTAGTTTTTATTATTGTTGTGAATGAGTTCTCTCCACCGCCCTTTTTTGTTTTGCTTTTGCTTCCTACATTTCTTTTTTCATCTACTTACTAATCACTCTATTTTATTCACAGGCACACACAAAGTAAATGTTCCTCGTCCCTAGGCACAAACACACAAGCACAGCCAAACACACGGAGCCCACATAAATGACTGAAAATGAATAGCCATTAAAAAAAATTGAAGTCTAATGACACAAGCGAAACATGAATACATTCCCCTCTTTACAAAAGAGAACGTTGCAGGTGAAGCTAGAGTCCTTTTTGGCCACCCACTGCCACCCTATTCCCTTCCTCCTCTCCAGCAGTAACCACTGTCATGGACTCAATGTGTACTTTTCTAGACCTTTCTAAAAACTTAAAAATACATAGATAGGTACCCAAAGGAAATATATGGTATAGTTGTCTCAAATAATGAAAATTTTGTTTTTCCTTTCTAGTTTTTATTAATATCAAACTTTTATATTGACCTGAATTTTATTATGGTTACAAAATAGAATGTCAGCGTTATCATCTGTCACAATGTGAAAGTAAAGATATAAAAGTTGGGAGGTAGCAACGGAGGGAGGAGGGTAGGAAGGCTGACAGGGACAATAGTAGGGAAGCAAGAGCTTCTGTAGACATGTGGTAGAACAAGGAATGAAGGGCCAAGTAGGTTTCTTAAAATTAAGTAGATAACCAACAGAAGTACTTAAGAGGAGAAGTAAGGATAGAGGGGAGTAGTTTCCAAGGGACCCAATGTCTAATCCACCGAGACATCAGTGGATCTTATGAACTAGAAATAGGTCATAGCAGATGCTGTCTAGAGAACTCCCGTGACCCAATTTTGACTTGGGACTTGAAAGGGGATATCTTCAGGCAGCTTCAGGGAAACACTTTCCTCCCTAATTAAAGAGATGCACTTGGGGCCAGGCACAGTGGCTCTCGCCTGTAGCCCCAGGCACTTTGGGAGGCTGAGGTGGCAGATCGCTTGAGCCCAGGAGTTCGAGACCAGCCTGGGCAACATTGTGAAACCCCGTCTCTGCAAAAAATATAAAAGTTAGCCAGGCGTGGTGGCATGCACCTGTCGTCCCAGCTGCTCAAGGGGCTGAAGTGAGGAGATTGCTTTAGCCTGGGAGGTTGAGGCTACAGTGAGTTATTATCATGCCATTATACTCCAGCCTGGATGGCAGAGTGAGACCATGTCTCAAGAGAGAGAGAGAGAGAGAGAGAGAAAGAGAGATGTACTTGGAGAGGTTTCTTGGCTGCCCTCTTTCTTTCTGCCTAGGTGCTGTTGAGTGAAAACATGATGCTTGGAGCCCTGACAGCTATCTATTATCTTGTGACCAGGAGGGGAAGGCCCGGAGACTTGTGGCTCTCAGCTTACTCAGATCTCAGCTACCGGGAACCACTGACTTGAACTTTCATTACTTGAAATAAATGTTCTTATTGTTTAGCCACTCTTAGGTGATCTGTTACATTCTGGTGAAAGCGTCCTTCCTAATACAAACAACCTGCAAGCTTAGAGTTAGGAGACAACCTCCAGGAGCAGAGATCACACACTCTGGGGTAAGAGTTTGAGGTTGGGAGAGGGCCCATCCCAAACTTGCTGCTCTTCATCAAAAGCCCTTTGATTCTCTTGGATTTTTTAAAAAACGATATGCATGGATTACTTGAATAGAAATAGAAGTTTAAAAAAAAAAAACAGTCTGATAAGCTGGGCATGTTGTGCACCTGTATTCCCACCTACTTGGGAGGCTGAGGCGGGAGGATCTCCTGAGCCCAGCAGCTCAAGGCTGCAATGCACTGTGATCGTGCCTGTGAATAACCACTGCATTCCAGCCTGGTCAACAGAGACGAGACACTTCCCTAAAAACAACTTTGATAAGAAGTGTGTTAAGATGTTAACAGTGATTGCCTCTGGGTACCTTTGGGTACTTTGCGATTTTCTAAGATGTCAAATATTCTTAATGGCTGACATGTAAGAGAGGTTAAGTTTTTGACTCCGGAAAAGAAAAGGCCCACAGCTGGTGAGACCGACCAGTGAAATCCTAGATGGATTCAAGGGGCATTAGAGCTGGGGATGAGGAGCAAACTGTGGGTGGATGTGAGATCCGCCTGATCCTGGAGAGGGCCAGCAACCTTCCTGGGTTCTTAAAGGAACTGCAGGGGTCCAGCTGATTTGGGACACATAGGGTTGGGGGCATGGGTGTGGCAGGAGGGAGAGCAGTGACAGACCAGGCTGGCCGCACATGCATTGCTGTTGTGTCATGACAAGGAGTGAGCCAAGGGTAATGAGGAACTGGTGGCTGTTTTTGTGTTTTTTTGTGTTTTTTTGTGTGTGTGAGATGGAGCCTCACCCTGTCCCCCAGGCTGGAGTGCAGTGGCGCAATCTCCACTCACTGCAATGTCTGCCTCCCGTGTCAGCGATTCTCCTGCCTCAGTCTCCAGAGTATCTGGGATTACAGGCATGTGCCACCATACCCGGTTAATTTTTATATTTTTAGTGGAGACGGGGTTTCACCATGTTAGCCAGGATGGTCTCGAACTCCTGACCTCAGATGATCTGCCCGTCTTGGCCTCTCAAAGTGCAGGGATTACAGGCATGAGCCACTGTGCCCAGCTGTGGCTGTGCTTAAGCAGGAAGACAGGTGTGATCACTTTCATTTAGTCAAGTTTCTTTTCTTTGCCAGTGAAAGAAGCTCAACTCAAACCAGCTCAGACACAGAGAGAACTTAACTGGCTTCTATAAGCAAACCACAAGCCAGGCTAGGTTCAGTTGACCTTCCAGTCCCCTGGGGCCAGGGACTCGACTGGCAGCCTGCCCCTCTCCCCTCTCTCATCTCTATGTCTCCACGTCTCTCTGTCTGGCAGCTCCCTCTCTCGGGTATGCTTCTTCCACACACTGGCATTCGTGACTACCAAGGTTTCACGTCTCTTAGGTTTATGACCATGAAGAGACCAAGGTGGGATTGTAGGAACTTGGTTAAGAGGCAGAGCTACTTGCTTACTCACTGTTTCGTCTAATTTCTGCCTTCAGTGTCCTCACTTGGGAAACAGGGATAAAAACTGCACCAGCCTAGTGTTGTGAGGGTCAAAGGAGATGATGCCCATCAGGTACTCAGCTCGGGATCGACACTAAGTGCTCCGTGAATGTTAGTTATGAGCTCTCTCTGTTCCCAAGTCCAGAAATCTGCAGAAAGGCTTCCACTGGCCCAGTTGAGTTGGGGCTCACCTCTGGCAAATCAATGATGGCCATTAAGGTGGTTTGCATAACAAATAAGAAGGGTGAATTTCAAAACAAATAGGGTGGGGTGCGGAATGATTTCCCAGAAGGGTTGGCACAGTTCTAGGTAAAGAACAGAGGTCATCCCTCATCTGCCAGCAGAAAAGGGTTTGATCAGGCCCCAACAGCCTGGAGGCAGGGAGATACCTAAGAGGTATCACAGCTGTCCAGGTAAGAAATGGTGCAGACCTGAGCTAAGCAACAGTGCAGGGACAGAGAAGGCGGAGCCAAGAGAAGTTTTGGAGGTAGAAATAGGGGTCATGGTGCCAAGTGCACCAGAGAGATGAGAGAGAATGAAAGGTTGAAGGTGGCCCCAGGTGCTAGCCCGGACACCTACAAACAGAGCCTCTTGAAAACGTCGCTTCGTTACTCAAGTTAACTCTTCCCACCACCACCGCCACTCGTTCTGCTCAGTAGCACAAACTGAGTTGAAGGTAAACACAGCCACATCTGGGCATTTCCAAAGTCTCTCTTAAGTAGATTCTTGGCCCACTTCCAGCTTCTCTGCTTCCCACTGCTCCTTCTCCTTGTGGGTGGTTGGTGTTCTGGGAGCTTCTATTCTGACCTGGCACCAGGGCATGCAGGTGATCCAGGCCTGCCAGCAACTATCCACTGCCATCCACTGAGCCATAGGATCCCTGCTGAATCCTTGTCCTGACCACGAGGCACCTCCAAGTCCACTGGCTACACTCACCCTCTTCTGTACACCCTCACCACTAACACCATGTTACAAAGACAAACAGGATCCTGGAGGAGACCTCCAGGCCACCTTCTCCCACCAGGGCTCCTCAGCCTCTCCAGCCCATGCCAGGAGCTTCTGGTCTCCCAGGCAACACCTGAGGAGCTGGGCAACAGTCCCCTTCTGCTCTGGGGTACCTCAAATTATTCTGGGAGCTCTAGTATCTACCCTTAGCTACATCTGTATGTGATTCCTCTCCTCCCAGTAGTTGTCAAACTTTTATTTCCTTTTAGGCAGAAAAACAACTTCTGCATTCTTCCCTGTTTACCATTCTGGCATCAGTTTCAAGTGCTCAGTCCCTCAAGCTCTTTCCTCTTTACAAAAGCCTAGCTACTGCAACCAACCACCCTGTCTGTCTCTGCTGTAGGTTTCAAGAGACTCTTTGAAACTACTGACCATCTTTCTCACTGCATTCATGCTGCAGCAACCCAAATCCTGCAAAGCTCTGACTGAATCAGGAACCAGTGACCTCGGTAGTTAGTCTCCAAAGATGGCCACCACCCATACTTGCCCTCCTGTTATATATATCATACTCCTCATATCAGGAAGAGACGTGTAACTCCCTCCCCATGAATCTATCCTGGCCTTAGTGACTTTCTTGGCCAGTCGAATATAGCAGAAGGGACATTCTGGGACTTGTAAGGCTAGGTCACAGGAAGTCTTGTAGCCTCTGCCAGGATCTTGCAATGCTTGGCCTTGGAACACTCCTTGCAAACTGGCTGCCGTGCTATGAGAAGTCCAAGCCTATGGTGAATGCACATGTGGGCACTCCAGTCAATGGCCTCAGCAAGCCCCCAGCCAACTGTGAAGGAGCCTTCTGGTGACTCCAGCCCCAGCTGCCATCTGACTGCGGCTACATGAAACACTTATAAGAACCACCTTGTTGAGCTCTATCAACCCCAGAACCATGAGGAATAATAAACTGTGTTCTTGGGGTTTTGTTGTTGTTGTTTTTGAGACAGGGTCTTGCTGTGTCATCTAGGCTGGAGTACAGTGGCACAATCATGGCTCACTGCAGCCTCGGACCTCCTCAGCTCAGGCGATCCTTTCACCTCAGCCTCCTTGTAACTATAGATGTGCACCACACCTGGCTAACTTTTGTATTTTCTGTAGTGAGGGGGCTTCCCCATGTTGCCATGGCTGGTCTCAAACTCCTGAACTCAAGTATTTTGCCCGCCTCGGCCTCCCAAAGTGCTGGGATTACAGGCATGAGCCACTGTGCCCAGCCAATAAATTGTGTTTGTACGCCACTAATCTTTGGGGTAGTTTGTTGTGCAGCAAAACGGTGATGGGCAAGGAAGTGTGTGGGGGGGAAGCACATCAAATAATATATAAAATATGATCCTACCACACAGCATTTAAATGTTCCACCATAGTGCAGTATGGTAAGTGCAGTAATGAACCATAAATATGCACAGAACTTTCCAGAAGAGGTGACCATTGATCTGACTTCTTAGAGATGAGCAGGAATGAGCAAGGTAGAAGGGACTGGAAGGACATTTCAAACAGAGGAAACAGCACAAGCATAGCCCTAGGAAGGAGAAGCAGCAAGAGTGAGCTGGAGGGAATTTGGTGTTCCTGGACTATAGGAAAAGAAGGAGAAGGCTGGGCATGGCGGCTAACACCTGTAATCCCAGCACTTTGGGAAGCCGAGGTGGGCGGATCACGAGGTCAGGAGTTGGAGACCAGCCTGGCCAATACAGCAAAACCCTGTCTTTACTTAAAAAATACAAAAATTAGCCAGGCATGGTGGTGCATGCCTGTAGTCCCAGCTACTCAGGAGGCTGAGGCAGGAGAATCATTTGAACCCAGGAGGTGGAGGTTGCAGTGAGCTGAGATTGCACTGCAGCCTGGTTGACAGAGTGAGACTCTGTCTCAAAAAAAAGAAGAAGAAAAAGGAGGAGGTGGAGGGGATGGGAAGAGCAAGATTAAGTGGAGAGAGACCCTGCAGGGCCTTGGATGCCCCCGTGTCAAGGAGTTCAGACACTGTTCTGCAGCCATTGGGCACTGTTGAAAGTTTTTACACTACATAAATCTGATGCGTTCAGATTTATGATTTGGGAAGATCATTGAGGTGGTCAGTGCAAAGACTACATTTGGAAGGTGATAAGTCTCTAGGCAGGGAGACCAATTTAGAAAACAGTCAGAAATGCATAAGGATTGTTGGCTGTTGGGGTGAGAGGGTAGAACCAAGAGTGATTCCCATGTGTCTTGATTGGGATCCTTGGCAGATGGTGGGGAGGTGCTTGAGATGGGGAACACGGCATGGTAGCCCATTTGGGGGAGGGCAAAATGAACTCAGTCTCAGAGAAGTAGAGCTGAGGGGCCCAGGGCACAGCCAGGAAGAGGTTAGCAGACAGCTGGATGCCACAGCCAGGACTCAGGAAGAGATCTGACTGGAGGGACCAACCCGGGGACAGAGGTTAATGGG